TGAAGACATTTTAACCACTTTCAGGTCTTACTCAAGGTTTTGATAAAATTATGCCTCTCCAAGACTGTGGGTTGACACAAGGTTGGTTCCCTCTGACACACGGTGTGGCTCTGCATCAGCCCAGGTCATAGCTATGGCATTGTGCATATAGCAGCGGTCGCTGTAGCTGTACCAGGAGCTGGTTTCTTTGGTAATTTATTTGATTGTATTTTATTTTAAAAAGGCTTTTTCAGCAAAACAATTAAACAAAAAAAGTTCAGTATAGATGTTGGGTGTTTTTTACTCCTGCTTCAATATTGTGGCAGGGTGTGGTCTGTGGTGGCGCTGCAGGGATGATGGAAGCACCTGCACGGCATCTGCAATCACGCTTCGCCGGCTTAAAATCTGTGCTCTGTCTGCTGTTGTTGTTGATGATGATGTGAGTGGCTGGCAGCTGCAGAGCTGCAGCCACGTGTGGAAGAAAAGCAGTTAATAAAGGTGATGCTGAAAAGCATGTTCATGCAAACTTCGTCTGGTCTGCTGTAGGTCATTTAAAAATATATTAACGTTAGTTGTGAGCAGTGTTGGGTTACTTTTAAAATGTATTCCACTACAGATTACAGAATACATGCCCCAAAATGTAGTTTGTAACGTATTTTGTCACGTTACTCAACGAGAGTAACGCATTCTGAATACTTTGGATGCTTTTTACAACTACATGAATGTACTATTGCTGTGTGATTTATTACTATTACTAAAGGCTACTCGCCATACCAACACCAACTAGATTTTTAAATCTTAATATAAAATGAGTAACAGTAGGGTGGACATTAGGTAAGGCTGCACTTTTTGCAGCGATCTTGTAAAAAAAACTATTCTGCACGTATATAAAACAAGTCTGCGGCACTGAACCGTAGTAAAGGGACCTCTGGCTAATAGTCGGGTTCTGTGTCGCGCTCGTAGCTGACAGTGTTGGGTAAGTTACTTTAAATTAGTAACTTAGTTACATTACTAGTTACTTCTATCAAAAGTAACTCAGTTACTTCAAGTTACTCATTACTTTCAGAGTAACTAGTTACTAGGGAAAGTAACTTTGGTTTTACTCAGAATTCTCTTGTTAATGTGTTGCTTCCGTAACTGGATACCCAGCAAGTTTGCCAGTCTTCTAGCTTGCTTACTTGCCACAAGTGCACTGTGCCACCTACCAATAGAAAGGAAAAAAATAATGTGCACATTTTCACAAGACAAATCCCACGCCTGGACCGTCGTTGACCGCCACATGATTCTAGCCTGCTTTTTACATCCAACACAAAAACTGCAGTCGTGGTGCTTTCGATTGTACTCAGAACTCTGAAATTCTGCCTTCCGAATAGGAAGATGTAGGTAACACCAGACTGCAGATGAGCTGCTTACAGGGCTGGACTGGGACAAAAAAAAAAAAATCGTCCCGGGCATTTTGACTAGAAACTGGCCCACCATTATAGGAAAAATCATAAAGCCTTTGAATGAAAACAAACGCTGTTGTGACAGTGATGTACACTGTTCTGATGGTATATATGCATCAATCTATCAATCGTTTGTTGTAAGACTCAGATAATTATTTGTTTAAAAGCGAGACATTTTAAATGAGAATAAGAAAGAAAAGTATTTCTTTGTTCCCCCCTTTCCCTGTTAATGTCCTACCTGGCCCCGTGGCAACACTTTGCTAGACCCGCCCCTGCACAGTTACCAGCTGTCAGCTACATAAAAAAAAGGATCCTGGTGTTATTTGTCTCTCAGAAACAGTTCATAACTTCCCTTCAACTCGTTCATGTCACCTAAAAGGTAAACCTGTTTCTCCATCACCTGTTCAGCTCTGATGATCCAGTAAGGACATCTCCTGGTTTCATCTTCATGTTTCCCTCTCACCAGATAACCAAACCATATCATGACCAGCAGCTTTACAGCTGTGGCTCCAGCAAACATCAGCTGATAGTAGAAAGTAATATTAAATAAATTCTAACAACAGCTGATTAAGCTTAAACGTGCTGCTGTTGTTTAGCGCGACATCCGCTGGTTTCCTCTTTCTGGCGCAAAGTGGACGATAAACAAACAAGAGAGCCGATCAGCTGATCATTGATCAGTTTCATGATTGAAGTAGAAACAGGAGAGGGAGGGGGAGAGAATGAGAGAAGAAGAGGCAGCTGTGCAGCGTAAACACAGAATAACTCCAGCTTTGTGCCTTTTTCATTGTAGCTGAAGTCCGGGACAAAATGTTCCTTTTCACCTCAATACGAAACGCGTAATATTTTCTCTGAATACGAGACGATTCTGTTTTTTACGGGACGGTTGGAAACTCTAATAATTAACCTATGAACAATATAAAGTTCAACATCAGTAACATAGCACCCACCCAGCTGTATAGAAACCCCGTCATGCTAGCTAGTACTCAGTACGAAAAAGTCAGCATAACGAAAATAAACTCCACCTAAACTTGGTTTATATGTGACTCAGATACACTGCAGGTCATTCTTACCTGAAGTTCAGTTCACCTGATACTCAGACCGGCGGCTGCTTCGGGTCTCTCCTCTTGCCTCCCTTTTCCATCCTCCACCTGCTGGCTTCCACCACTTGCTAATGTTATTGAATCTGTGGAAGCTCCGCGATAGCCACCACACGAAGTAACGAATAACGAGCCTATCTAAATCCCAGTAACGAGTAACGCGTTCCTGGTTTTGGCATAATAACTAGTTACCGTGCTCGTTACCACAATAATAACGTAGTTACTGTAACGCGTTACTTAATAACGCGTTAGTCCCAACTAGAGATGGACCGATCCGATATTACGTATCGGTATCGGTCCGATACTGACCTAAATTACTGGATCGGATATCGGAGAAAAATAAAAAATGTAATCCGATCCATTAAATATCACGAAAGCACCTCACAAAACTTGCAACACACCATAACTCACCTCAGAACGTTAGCACGTTGGAGCAGTATGCATCACGTGATAGAGCGGCTGGGACCTGTCAGTGGTCTGGATAGCATGTGGAGCTTCACTAGCAACCCAGCATTTCATCTCCGACAAAGTTATCCCGAGAGAAGTAAAGCAAGTGTGTAAGTCCATCTCTGAATGTTTGTAAAGCATTCCTGCGTTAAGCTTAACAAGCGACTGCCTCTTCTTGCTGCTACTTCAATCATGAAACTGCTTAACGATCAGCTGATCGGCTTTTCTGTCGTGAGTCCGTGTCTCTAGTTTGCTTTTGGCCCACGTTGCACCAGAAAGAGGAAACCAGCGGCTAAACAACACCAGCACGTTTAAGCTTGATCAGCTGTTGTTAGAATTTATTTAATATTACTTTCTACTCGAGGATCTTTTTCTACGTAGCTGACGCTGGTAACTGTGCAGGGGCGGATCTAGCAAAGTTTAGCCAGGGGGGCCGATAAGGCATGAACGGGGAAAATGGGGCACAAAGACACACTTTTCTTTCTTATTCTCATTTAAAATGTCTAGCTTTTAATAAATAATTATCTGACACCCAAAGTTTTAATTTGATGCAAAATGTATAGAAGTCCATTACTGTATATAGTAACTATTAAGTCTAACATACCCTAGTAAGCTATAGTACTTTTTCCTTTGGGAAGGTACCATCTGTGCAGTCTGCAATTTTGATGAAGAAAGATGTTGAATCTATTTAATATTTCTTGAAAAATAATTGATTTCTGTGCATTTTTTTTCACACTGCATCAAATTAAGGTTGATTACGTCGATTAAGCATCATGAGGTGGAGGGTGAGGGGTGGTTCCCTATTTTTTATTTATTTATTTTTGTTGTTGCTGGGAGTTGGAACCCTATTAGTTAGGTTGCTTAATATTTACGCTAAGTACTCTTTAAAATACCAGAATAGGGAGGATGGTGTAGGTCTAAGTTTATTAGATTGATCAGTATTGCTGTACTATGAAATATTTTTCTTTGTATACAGGTATAACAGAATAGCTTTAGTGTAGTTGTTGTTTTAAACTTGAGTATGAACTTATACAAAATGCAGCAAAATATTTAAAAAACAGTTTTGTTGATTAAAACACACTATATCGGATTCATATCGGTATCGGCAGATATCCAAATTTATGATATCGGTATCGGTATCGGACATAAAAAAGTGGTATCGTGCCATCTCTAGTCCCAACACTGGTAGCTGAAAACTAGCTTTACTTTGTTGTCTGGGTCAACTTTTCTAGCGAGAGACAGAGAGAGCCGTTGAAAGGCTGCTCCAACAGAACTTATTGTTTGGGAGAAAAACACGAACACAGTGTACAGTCTTAATAGCTTACTTACAACTGGGCTCATCAGGCACTGTTTTTGGCTGCAGTGGTTATTATTATATTTACATGCTTCCAGCTCCCGTTTCTGGTCGGTTACAACTCATACTTTTCAACTCTCCTTTTTCTCCCTCCTGGCGCTCACAGACACATAACAGGTATGGCAGTCCATTCTCCCTGCAGCACGAACTACACTGCCCGTGAGGCTACATTCTTTAGGGCGATGCCTGTAACACTCTGCCTGTTGCCTTCTTATTAAATAATTTTTTGAATAATTTTTTAAAACACTTCTTCGCGTCATTATATGGGCTGCAAATAGGGGTGACGTGGACCGTTAGATTGAGACACAGGTATTACTACCTCTTAATGTGTGTTTTGTCTGGTTTTACACCAGCGTGGAATTACCAAAAATAGAGAGGGCATAGCCTAACATATGAAACAGGAAAAGACCGCTATGTAATCCATTTATTTCAACAAAGTAAAGTACCAACCCATATAAACGGTAACTGTAGCAGAATACAGTTACTCATATTTTGTATTTTAAATGTGTAACGGCGGTACATGTATTCCGTTAGTCCCCAACACTGGCTGTGAGATTAAAACAATGAGTAAATATTCCCTGTGATCCACCATCAGAGCTACCAGTGGATGATTCTGTATTCATGAAAATCAAGGTGAGTGAAATTTAATGACTTTTGCACAGACACACAAAAGACAGATTACAGTGTGCATTCACATCTTTATTGTAGCATTGTACTAGCAGGAACAGAAGGTTCAGTGCTTCTAAGGACAGGTAATGCGTGTTGCACAAACATAAGGTAAATTGGTAGCACACGTGTAGTCATTCCATTTCTTATCTGATACTACATTGGTGTGAACACAGTGTTCATTTCCTCCCTCATTATCTGGTTGTGCTGGACTCCAGTAGACAAAACGCAGTGGACAACCATCGGACCACATCCAGGTGCCTTCTTTATGCTTGTCACTGAGTCCAATCCAGGTGAGTCCCTCTGCGTGGTCAAAGTTCTGGATCAGGTTTTTCACAAAACTCTGTTCCTCTGTATTGCGGATGGACACCAGGTTGGCTCCCTGTGACAAACAGTAGACCTCTGCATCAGCCCAGGTCATGCGGGTGGCGACATATTTGTAGCAGCGGTCATTGAAGCTCCACCAGAACATGGGACAGGCTCCACGTTGCAGTTTAAATTTCCGTTCACCTGAAAGGAAAACAGAATTCAGGGCTGGATGAAACTGTTAAAAAGTTGAGAAAAAGAGATTTTTTTCTCAGAGTCACAGAAACAGAGGTGAAAATGCTCTGCTGGTATTGAAACAAGTAACTGCTTTAATTTAAGCGCTGCAGAGAATCATGGCTGCACAGTTGAAATAATGCCACTGGTCAAATGCATTCAGCAAAAGCTTTTCCCTCATTCACAGTTCCAAAGAAGAGGAGCATGAGATAACAAATATCCACATAAAATGATCTTTTGCTAACATAATAACCACAAATAAAGGTAAAAGTAAATAAGGGAAAATAAGAGCTAGAAAATGAGACGGTTACCAGGTTGTTGCTTCACTTCATTGTCATCAGAGGGAGACTCAGAAGGAGCACCCAGAGCCAGACCAAACAAGAAGAGGAGCAAGATCATGTTGAAGCTTTAAGTCTCACAGTATGATGAGGAGCTGCTGCAGCTTCTTTGTACAGGATGGTTTCTTTTATAGCTGCCTGAGTGGGTGTTTTTACTGCTGGTGTGATATCATTGGTCAGATAGACCAAAACTCTCCACCATAAACAATAACATTAAATATAAGCCTGAAAAAATCAAATTCCAAAGAAATTCATGATTGTTTAACTGTTGAACAGTTTCCTCTTGGCACATTCATGAGAATGTGACTCTTTATTTTATGTAGTTATATATTTATTGCATGGTAAAAAGCCTTATCAAGGTCATGAACAATTAAACAGGACAGGTGAGAGCTACGAAAGGAAACAGTAAAGTAAAACAGATGAGTTAATCTAACATAAAGAGAACAAAGTCCTTCCACACAGAAGGATCATCTCTTTCATTTTGGCAGGACAATTTAAAGTAAATAAGAAAATAACAAACTATTAAGACATATTTATTAATAAATGTGCTGTTTTCTCACTTTGGTTTAAATGTCAGCACTATTATGTCATTATGCTTTTTAGTTTCTATGAAGAATTACAACATGAGGTGAGGGCAACACACACACACACACACACACACACACACACACACACACACACACACACACACACACACACACATTTTCATATCTCAGTCAGGCCATTTCCCTAGCTGCTCACACTGACCATCAAAAATACATGCTAAAGTTACTAGAACTTTCATGATACAATAAAAGCAGTCTATCATAAACTAAAAAACAAAACATAAAAATAGACTAAGAACAAAGTCCTGGTATTTACAGATAACCACCTCGACTTATCTGATGAAATTATCTTATTTCATCAGATAAGGATGAATAGTATTTGGACCTGCACACATAACTCCACAGAAAGCAAAAGCAAAAGATGTCATTCTAGCTGGCAAAAGCCATGAGATTTATTAGCTACAAGTCTTAAATAGTTGTCAAATACCACATTAAGGAACTTACAGAATTCTGAGATTTTATCTAAACATTTGCACAAGCTTTCACACATGCCACAGTTTATTTTTTTAAACTCATTAAGTTCACAGCAAATTGAACTGTGAAGTTTATTTTTTTTTTTACATTTTTATTGTTGTATGCTTATTACCATAGTACTGTAGTATCACCCCAAGAGAGCATGTTGCAGTCAGGCTGCTGGTTTACTTGTGGTTTCTAGGATGTATAAAATAGAAAGGGAGGCAGGCCCCTCTTCTGTGAAACCAGCTTCCGGTTTGGATTTGGGAGACAGACACCCACTCTACTTTTAAAATTAGGCTTAAATTTTCATTTTTGATAAAGTTTATAGTTAGCGCTGGATCAGGTAACCCTGAATCCATCTTTTGATAGTTTGCAATAGATCTTGGCTGCTGACAGTATAGGCATCAATAATACTACATCATTACAAATCCTTCAATATGTCCTCTTTTGAATTATGAGATTTGCAGTTTTTGTTTCGCGCCATAATCCATTGTCTAACCTGCTTCTCCCTGTGCTCAGGTTTTGCTTGGAGGACCTGTGGATATGGAGTGGTGAGCAGCCTTTATTTCACATGAACGTTTGGTAATTATTTGGAATCTGTGGAAACCCTGAAGGGAGACCGGGACTGTTACCACTTTGTGGCTGAGTTGCTGTCATTCCCAATCACGTCCACTTTTTTATAATACCACTAATAGCTGACTGTGGAACATTTGGCAGCAAGATAACTTGATGACTGGACTTGTTGCACGGGTTGCATCCTGTTACGGTATCACACTGGAATTCACTGAGCTTCTGAGAGTGAGATATTTTTTTCCACAAATGTTTGTAGAAGCAGTCTGCATGCCGAGGTGCTTGATTTTATACACCTGTGGCCATGGAAGTGATTGGAACACCTGAATTCAATGATTTGGATGGGTGAGTAAATGCTTGTGACAATACAGTACATGTGTGTTTACTTTTATATCATTTTGCCAAGAATGACTTTTATAATAAAACTATTCTATCCTGAACTAACAACAGAGTCCAGATATTTACAGCAGATAATGAACAGTATTTGGTGACCTGCAAGTGACCCCGCTTATATAATCAAACATACAGAAAGTGAAAGCACAGGATGTAAATGCCACATTAAGGAACTTTAACAAAACTTTAAGTAGTTTAGTAGTTTTAAGTAGTATAGTTATAAAAGGTAAAAACTTGACTCTTGTTTTGTAAGAAAGGTGTAATATTAAGGCTAATAATTTTGTCTGTCTGGTGTCTGGTCTTGTGCATCATTCTATGATTGCATATTCACGACTTTTTTTCTTGTGCACCAGACCCGACGTCTGGAGCAGGACAAAAACACAGGACTCAGGCAGGCGGCGTGCAAAGGTATCTGTTTCCCCTGCGTCTGGAGCTCGCTCCTTGTTGCTGGACAAGGTGAGGGGATCCAGTTGACTCCGCCTCCATTCCAACCAAGATAAGTGATAAGTGTTGTTGCCTGATAACAGAATAATCACGTCTGTGTAAACTCGATTCATTTAAACTCAGTATACCACGTTCTCAAACCACGTTTTTCCATGATTTGAACACTGGGGAACAAATTGTGGCAGATTCAGCCTAAACGCATGGACACAAATTCTGTCGGGGATAACTGCCATGGCATGACAGCTGTACTATTCACTGTGGTTGCTGCTTACCCTCTCCTGGGTCGCCTGAGTGTTTGCCAGAATCGCTTCAAGGCAGTCCGAAAGTCTTCTTCCATGGCCTCAAAAAACTCCTCCCAAATCCACTTGGAGTTGACCTGGATTGTTCTGTATCTGAAAACAAACCTAACCAGGGGGGAAGTACAAGTTTACAAATTCATCAACCAATTGAGACCAGAGTAAACAGGTGTGAAAACGCCCTAAGAAATTAATCGCCAGAAACATTCCTACTGCTAATATAGTAAAATACATACCTGGATAGAAAAATACACAACATCTTTGGAAATACTACAGCAGTACTGTCTGTTGAACGTCAGACATCTTGCTTTTAGAGTTTGCATTCACTTAATCCACAGAGGTTCTGCATAACTTGTGCTCCATTCTGGGGGCTGTTGGCGTTTCAAAGCAGAGACAAAAACAAAACCATTTGATGGGGGCGGGGAGGCTTGGAATCAAAGACTAAACTATGCTGCTTTAAGTTGTGGAAATAGCAGACAGCATTTCACCATGAAGGCACCGTTCTCAGTCTCTCCTCAGCACAGCAATGTTAAGCAAATATGCAAGTAAAGTAAATTTATGTTGTCTTTCAAGATACAAATCACAAGGATATAAAATCAACAAAACATAAGCCCAGGAGTTAGATAACATCAGAATGTCAGGATGTTTAATATGAAATGTCTTAATGGGTTCAGGAGGACTCACAATATTGAACAATATTTAACATGCAATGTAAATCACAATATAAATGTAAATAAATGTAATGCAAATTGTGCATCTGATATTTATTCCTAACAATAAGAACAGTGAGAGGAGGCAGCGAGTGGGCCGAGGTGGCTTTCAGCTGGAGCAGAGAGGAGAGCTGCACACACCTGCACATGATCTAATGGAAGGAGCCACATGTGTAAACAAAAATAAACAAATAAACAAAAGCAAACATCTGATCATGACATCATAACAACATGAATCTTTACTGTGCAGTCTTAAAGTGTTTTAACCAGTTTATACAGTCATAATTAGTAAGTTGTATCAGACATATCTTTTCTTTTAAATTCCTAACGACCAGTAGTGCGAGTTGCACATACAAAAGAAAGGGGTTTTTTGGACACTCAAGGTCATTCCATATAACATCTGGGCCAAAGTTTATGTGTGCACAGGTCTCCTTTCCTTGACCCCATAATTCAAAGCTGACTTGAGATCCATCAGACCACATCCATCTGCCTTCTTTGTGAATGTCACCAAGTCCGATCCAAGTGAAGACATTTTCACCACTTAAGGTCTTACACAAGGTTTGGATAAAATTATGTTCCTTCTGACTGGATGGACACAAGGTTGGTTCCCTCTGACACACAGTGCAGCTCTGCATCAGCCCAGGTCATAGTTACAGCATTGTGCATGTAGCAGCTGTAGCTGTACCAGGGGTTGGGGACAGTTACCACACAATAAATGTACTTCTTGTTCATCTGAAGTCGATAGAGCACCCAGAACCAGCAAGAAGACAAGGTCATCGTGTTAGGGCTTTAATCCGTCACTTTTGATAAAGTGTGTTGCTGGAATTTAAAAGGTGGATGTCACCAAGAATCCTATAGAGAAATGTGACTGGATGCTTTCTTTTATGGACCCCAGAGAGGGTGAGTGCAAAGTTAGTCAAATATCACTGGCCAAAAGCACTTTCTCCAAATAAAAAACTAAACTTCATTTGGGCGTAACTGCACAGGATTTGAATATAAGCCAGAAAAGACCTTCCCTTCTCCACTGTCAGTCAGATTTTGACATAATCAAACATACTTCAGAGATTACACTGAACCGAGTCTAATACGACTGTCGTCGCATCAGCCACCACATTCACTCGTCAACATCTACATAGTATCCGAACATCGGCCAACAAAAAGACAAACACCTGGAGATATGTCACATAAAACCTATAATTTATTCCTTTTCAGTAAAATCTTCACATAGTAAAACGCAGCTTTAGAAAAGACGTGACTTCAGCCGTCTGAAGGTCGAGGGGAGACAAAGGGAGACGTATTGCTTTGTGGTTGACTTTCTTTTTTTTTCCCCATTTACAACAGATAAATAACATACCAAACATAGGCATATATTTACACATCAACAATATTACAATAGTACAAAGCCTTCAACATGTCCTCTCTTGTATTGTGAACATTGTGGTTTTGTTTTGTTTTTTTCGTCATGCAAACAGGTTTTAAACAACACTGTTCTAAAAAAAAAAGTAACTTTAGACACTCATAACAGTGGCCGAGTAACACTACATAGAGTCTCTGTTGGTCTCCTCCCTATTACAGTTTTTACTGCTAACAAAAAAAAGCAACAACAACAAAAGAAATCTGATCTCTGATCTGGTCCTCTGCTGCCCTCATGTGGCCACAGAACGTGACAGCAAGTCCTTTTACTTTCCCTCTTTTGCAGTTTCAAACCACAAACATCTTCTTCTGCACTGTTAAAAGTTCCTGACATGGCACAAAAAACAGAGACATTTTTTTCCACCTATGAAATACATAAATAAACAATATATTACAATAAATAACTTCTGCTCTCTCAACACAACGAGCAGAGGTGTGTGTGCATGTGCGTTTTGTTTACAGGTTAATAGTAAAAATGACTACCACGAGGCCTTCATGTGACACTGAATTCAAACAGATCATGGCTCTCATTCATCACCTCCAGCCAGGCAAAGAATCACCAGCTTGCTTTCCCCACAACCAAAAAAGGAATCTTTAAAAATTTGAAGAGAAAAAATAAAGCCAAACAAATTAAAGTAATAAGAAGGTTAAATTTGTTTAGTGCAGCAACGTGCAGCAAATGATGGCAAACATCAGATGTATACAGATGAATGCTCAATCCGACTTTTAACTAATTCTGAACGTGTCAGTTTTCTTTCTCTAAAGCACGACTGGACTCGAGGATTTTACACGACTCCAAGACTCTTGAGATAAATACAAAGCAATGAAATGCAGACTAAAGCTGTGTCTGCAAAACACTCAGTGACAACAAAAGGGTTAGAGTGTATATTTCAAAGAATCTTTAATGCACAGTGAGAAGCAGCTTATAACACAAGAACTATGTTTAACGTGACTCTTCACCTTCACATCCTTGAGTTCTTTCTTGTAAAGAACCAACGATGCCTTTGGCACTAAAACAGTGTCAAGAACTTTAAGAAGGTTCTGATCTAGAGGTGGAAAAAACAGCTCTTTGCTGTGAAAGTGTTTAAATGATGATGGTGGACACTTGTGGCAACACTTCTACTGTATTGCACTTCATCCTAATGTCTTGCCTTAGAAGAATCAAAAACAATGCAACACACATGTGGCAATGTGGAAGAAAGCCTACAGATGTTTCCTCCCACTCAGCAGAAATGTATTGCTGAAAAAACAGGCAAGACATGAACAGATATCGGGCACAAAACAATGAAAATACTAGTATGTTTTTCCCTTAATCTCTATTTCTCATCATCTGTCATTACTCCTCTGTGATTCATCCAGTAGTCAATTTCTTTCGCAGAGTGATAGTTTGTGTAACAAGACGGCAGATTCTACTAATGGAAATATTAAATAAGGGTTTTTCACGTCTTATGGCTTTATCAACAAGACAACAACATAACTTGGGAACTAATTGGATTCAAAGTAGATTTCTTTAGGAGAACCACAATTAAAAGGTTCAACAATCTATAGAAGAACCAAAATTAAATATCCCATCCATGCACATGTTATTATACAGGAATTCTCTGTAATTGTGCTTCCATTATTCAGTCTCTCCCTTTGTTATCTTTCAAAGAGTTTACATGAGACCACTTCTGCATGAAGTGATATTTTCAGTCAGTAGGAATTAATCGAAATCTCCTCTTAACTCTTATTGAACCCTTAATGATGACCTCTGACACCTCAGCATATATCAAGAAAGATGTGGTTTTATGACCATTAGACTAGTTTCTGGGTTTTTCTAAAGGTAGGCAGAGACCGCCCTCACTAACTTCTGAGGCACACTCAGTCATTTTGTTCTATAAGTGGACCTGAAATACGACAGAAACCACTCAGGTTAGAAAAAGCGCTTCAAGGGGTACAGAATTAAACCACAATTCTGTGGCACAAAGCTATTATTTATGTCTTGAGTTGGAATACTTTATCTGTCTAACACAATAAAACACAACAACAAACATAAAAAAAAGAACACAGCTCTGTGCTGGGGCCTTGTTTCAACAGAAGCCCGATACAATCTCACACACACAACCTGAACTCAGTCACGATGAAGTCAAACAGCATCTCAGTGAGAACTAAGACGTCAGATTTTCCTTATTCCAGGAAATAAAACTCTGTGACAAAAAGACACGGATTCCCAAACAAACCAAGAGCCTCATAGAACAATCTGTGCTGCAAGACTCCACGTGAGTTTTGGCACTGAAAAATGTGTAGGTCCATATACACAATGCAGTGTTATCAGTAACTGTTCACACAAAAACACCATAGAGAAGAGTGCGCGAAGGGCGTCGGCCTTAAAAGTCAAACAGGAGTTGGACAAAAAAAAACTTCAGCTTGTCCAGTGTTTCCTTCACTGTTAACGGTGCACCTTGACTCACAGACTCTATAGATCACAGAGAAAGTCTGAGTGAGTATCGCTGTGGAAAGTGTGCTGCCTCATCACAGTAACAAGAAAAAAGCTGCACCCCATCAACTAAATAACTACAGCATGTGCGGAGTTAATGTATCACAAGTCAAAGATGTTCCATGTAGATAAAATCAGATTAGAGCACCCACAGTAGCGATTGTGGCCACAGGTCCTTCACTCCTCTACAGGTGCTTTTGTGTTTGTAGCTGAACTGAAATGTAACGAGGAGGCTATCGACTCCTTACTGACCCCTCAGGGGGCACGACGACGTGACGGCAAAAAAAATAAAGTTTAAAAATTCCACCTGCTGAACAGGCTAATAAATAACAAAAGATCGATCACAAGAACAAAACGATGACATACTCAGTCCAATAGATACTGTACAAACTAATTACAGCCTCCTCTGCTCTGTGTCTGCGTTTGGCAAATCTCCACTTCGCTGCGCAGATTCGGTTCTTGTAGAAAGTTCACAGGTCGTGCGCAGTTTATGAATCCTTTCTTGGCATGTGTTTGGCTTTTACCAGAGCACACCTTGTTGTCCATTTGGCACCACTGCTGGTAGCATAATTTGTTGTCGGCATGTGACATTGTCGTGTACAGAGCGTCCTCTACGTCACACAGCAGCATTTCCACCATTGTGTCTCTGTGAGTGAGTGTGTGTGTGTGTGTGTGTGTGTGTGTGTGTGTGTGTGTGTGTGTGTGTGTGTGTGTGTGTGTGTGTGTGTGTGTGTGCATGCGTCTCTGTTTAAGCGCGGGGCTCCAGTTTGTGTGAAAGTTCAAAGAGCGTCTGCTGATTGTCGATAATGTGCAGGTAGTGAACGCTCGCCCTCACCTCCGCACTGTCGACCCCAATTACCTCGTTGCCTAAAAGACAAACGCACACACATCAGTGGATTCAACACAACATACACACACAGTTACTACAAACACACTGTATTACAGCCTTGGAAAGAAATAAAAGACTGTCTGGAAATGGTTGCTTGGAAACTGGAAGAAACTGACTCAGGTAAAAATGCAGTACACTAACTGAGCTGCAGATGGCGACAGATTCTTCTCAAGGATTTGAAAACAGCATAAACAACAGCTTCCAGAAGAAAAAACAACTATCTTTTAATATTTATATTTACTTTTTGATGTCATGGCATTATAGATAGACACAAACTTCTAATGTGTAGTACATACATATATGTGACAGCTCCTTTATGGATTATAAACTACTGGAAGTATATGATTTGTTTACACTGTGAAAAATATATACCATATACTTAATAAGTACCTAAACTTCAGCAACCTGCATGTTTGATATGTTTTACATTGGATGTCCTTCCTAACTACACTATAGAGTGATCAGAAGCGCGACTTTGAACCTAAAGATTCAGTTCAGTAAAAAAATGACATAACCCACCTGACTGGTCACTTTGGCAGTGGCGAATCATTCTCACCGTGTCTGCAATCATATGCTGTTGGTTTAAGAGAACACATGTTGCATTAGGGTGACATTAAACTGGAAAGATCACATTTGTTCTGGTAAACATCAAGAGCTTTTCTTTTGTCCAAAACATCCATCTTTTTACAAACCAAACACATTTCAACAGGCCAGCGTTTTACTATTGGTGATGGTGGATTCACCACTCAGCATGTACTCTGGAAATACAAAGCATCTACTTTCATCAGTCAACTTGACAACAAATAGTAGATGGTGCCTTCATCAGATGTATGATGTATTCACCACAGATGCAACTTGGTATTGTTATAATATATTGCAGAATACTGACAAAACAAAAACTACAGAGCACAACAGTCCCTGCTTTTTTAAGGACCCTGAGCACAAACATGAATTTCCCATTTGTTTTCTCCACTGACATTTCAGAAAAAGCTCTTAGTAAGTCTGCTTTGGATGATTACAACATTATAGCTCATAATCAAAACACCCATGAAAAATATAAATGTGATTTTTACTTCCAAAATCTCACTGTTGCACTCTTTCATTGTCACAATACAAATATCCAAGTATCGTGACCTTATTATCACCTACACTGCAAAGCTTAAGTCTGCAGAATAAATCTAGAGAAGCTGAAAGGAAAAAATACTTAAATGTCACATGGAAATGGTTTGAGGCACTGAAAGACATTAAAGAAATGACTCAAACTCACCAACTTCTCAAAGTTGACCAAGTTGTCATGGAAGGTCTTATTTCCCTCGTGGATAAAAGTGATATCTAAAAGCAGGAGACGGGCTTATTAGGGATTCATTCAGTGTTTCTGTGTGTGTGTGCGCACGTGTGTGTAGGATTTAGAGTAGATACCTTTTAAGAGAAGAGGCATGAAAGGGATCTTAGGAGGTTTCATCCTCTTGAAGGCTTCTCTGTAGGCTTTGTGGTTTAGAGATGGATCCTAGAAAAAGAGATGGAGGAAAACAGAAAGAGTAAAGAAAAGGAGGAAGCATTTAAAGGAATAGCACATTTTCATCTCTGCGTGTTTCTCTATCTCTGTCCACCAGGTCTCACCGTGATGAGTTCCAGCTCTGAGAAGAGCTTCTTGAACTTCCCCGGACATTTCTGAAAGGGAAAGCGTTTGCTCAGAGCTGGACTTGAAAATAGGCATCGTAATGAACAGACTCAGTTCTGTTAAGACTTACCTCCCACGTTTGGTTGAGTCGACTGACAGCAGCTGTGTTGAGACCCATGATGATGGCAAATGCAGAGTTCAGATTTCTCTGGGCTTTACAGCTGTGTGCAACACAGGCAGAAGCAGAAAAATGTTATTAAAAAAAGGAGATAAAACATGATGTGCTTAAAACATACTCTTCATTTTGTTTACATGACCACGTGTGTGTTCTGTTCTTACTGAGCTGCAATCTTGATAAACTTCTTGAGAAGCTGTACTCGCTTGTTGAGCGACACACACATGAGCACCTCGGACATGACCCACTGCTGGACCTCGTTACAGCGCTGCAGCAGGACTGAGAGCGCCGCCGTGTGGCCAGTGCCAGGAGCGCGGCTGAGAGTGTAGTACACCAGCTCCTGCTGCATGTTGACGGAAAGAAAGAGTGTGAGTGAAACACATCAAGAATCACACATCCTTGGGTGTGTTCTCCCTCTATAAACGAGGCTACCTCACCATTGCTTGTTTCACTCTAATCTTGCTATTGCTTAATTTTTTTGAATTTAAAATCAAAAACTGAAACAAAAACAATTCTCGTATACGATATAAAACCAGGAAAGAAAAAGAAAGTGCTCAAATGTACTCTAGTACCAAATGGGAAAGCACGCCAAGATGGAGCCTGTGTCTCTTCATCTGTGCTATGTTTACAAGAGTTTTTACAAGAACAACACATCTAAAAAGCCACTCAGCTGCTGGCTGAGCTGTGCTCATGATCCAGGAAGTCTCGCTGAGCATTTGCTTATATTCTGATGCGTAAACTTCAGCAGCATCTGTCGTCAATATGAATTTATTTAAAACTCTGTGCATACACCACATACATTCATCTGTATGAGTGGATACCTCGTGAATGGATTTGAAGAGACTCCAATCCAGGTGTGTGAGGGCAGCTGCCACATCCCAGGTGTTGATGCCCAGGAGTCGAACTGGCCTCCTGCTTAGCTCAGCACTGTCTGTTAAAGGAGGCTGCACATACAAACCCGTAGAGAAATTTAAATTATTGCACAAAAAGACAAGGCATGCTCAAATAAAATCCTATCAGGAGCATTAGTCAATTTGCATCTGCATCAGTGTGTATGTGGCATTATGGCCACATCTGTTCTGGGACCTTTTCATTTATCAGCTGTTATAAACGCCGATAACGATAGTGCTGCAGATAGCTAATATCGCCCCACCAACAAATCAGCCAGGCTCTAGCCGCTAAGACATTCAGACATAGATCTCACTCTGTGATGATGATGCCCCTTTACAAAGGTGCCCTGAAACGGCACTTTCCAGTCCAGATGTCACTGTCGGGCAACCACACAATAATTGTGGCTCACACGTTTTCCTCTCCTACTGAGTCAGAGTTAATAACAATCACCAGGCCTGAGCCTCTCCAGTTTGCTGCTGCATGACTCATTGCAACACTGAAAATATGTCTGCTGGGGAAGTGAAATACTCATTTTCATGCCTGATTTGTCAAGAAAGTGATACAGAGGCTAAATAACTAACTTTGTTTGCTGTGTTTTGCTTTGGACCTGCAAGCTGCAACTTGAGCTTCTTTTAAAGACTGAATGTTACAGAAAGACAAAAAAAATGCAGCCATTTACATACCAAGATCTCAGTAAGATCCCTGCGACAGGCCACAAGCTTTCCTTGTGGGGTCAGAGACTCAGAGTACACACAGTCACTGGGCTGTAACACCCTCCGCTCTTCAGAGACAAACACAGACAGAAGGAGAGAGATGAACGAGAGCCAAGAAAATGGATCAGTGATTCCCAGCTAGGAGGACTTGTACAGCTATTTTTGAGGAGCAGGTCAGGCAGCAGGAGTAAATCCCACATATTGCTTATATTAGAAAACTATCTTGACTATATGTTCTACTTGAATTGTGCTTGAATCGCATTTACCTCCAGTGTGCGACACCACGGCGAGCACCATGTCCTCTTCTGCTCTGTCCATCTTCAGAGCCACAATCCGCAGAAGCTCACGGGCCTCCAGCGAGGGATGCGTGTGGACACTCAGGTAGGAGTCGGCACTCACGTACACGCAGCAAATAACTGAAAAACACGCAAACATGGCGAGAGTAAATGTCTAAAATAAATGAATGCTGAAATGCTGGAGAAAGAAAACTTCAGTTAGTTTTTGCCAAAAATATAGTTGAAAACACAATTTAAGCAATTTGCATGTGCAAACTAAAATTACACTCCACAACTGTAATTATGCATAACTGTGTAGAGTTTGGGGCGGTGATTGTGTATGTCTGTGTCTGTTACTCACCCTCTCTGGTATCGGTCTGTGGACTGCGGAGCTGCAAACAGTTTTCCTTCAGACTCATATGCTGATACGTTTGTTTGCTCTGCGAGAAGAGCGGAGGACAAATGGAGATTTGAAATGCTTTATCTAGTCTGTGCTGGATGTTATTAGGCACTGATAGCACCTATATTATCTCCATCAGCACCTACACTGCTTAAAGAAAATCTAAAAATGTTGTTTCTGTGTTATTTAACAATGCAAAAATACAGATCCTCCATCTGTTTTAGCTTGTTGTGGATAAGTCAGTAAGTACAGTGGCCAATGTGAGTCAATCTTTTTCTAAATATGTGACAGATTCTCTCTCATATCCATTTGTGTGTTATACCTTTTGGTTTGGAGGGCAGTCATCCACCGTGCTACAAGAAACAAAGAAACGAGTGAAGGAGGTTACGGGTAGTCAAAATAAGGCAGACAGATGAGTTTACACATCATCACATGCTTCTTTAATGTCTCTTACTGCCTGCGACGCAGAAGTTTCTGAAACTCCTTCAGGTCTTTCTCCAATGTGGGGAACTCGTACAGATCTTCTAAAACACACCTGTACAGAGTCTGACAGACAGAGAAAGGAAATGTTATTAAAATCCATGATCACATGATTCATGCTAAATACTTCTTGACTAATGGTAAAGGTTGTCTGAGCCAGAAAAAAAAAAGAATGTGTCCTCACTCTATTGCACAGCAGGCATAAGAGCCAATCACAGCTTTTAGTGTGAGGAACATTTTATAAACACATGTATACAAAGACTGACCTCAATGCAACATAACAACCAGGATCACTCTGCGCTGACTGTGTAATAAACAGCTGTGTATGTGCCATAGTTATCTGAACTTATTGCGTTAGACTTCACGTCAGTCTTGTAGTTTAGTTGGAAAGTCAGTGAGTGTATTCCTGCTTGGATTAAGTGTTTTAACGGCTGCCTCTATTGTTTTCCTCAGGAGGAGTGTGGGACGAGAGACAGCAGTGAGCACGGGGAGTGCAGAGACACAGGAGCAGAGAGCACTAAACTGGGACTTTTCGGGAAGAAGACACGACACGGGAGTAAAGGGAGAGCACGGGGATTTATTGCTTTTTTGCACTGTAAATAAACGCACCGCTTGCAGTGAAGAGTCCTGCGTTCTGGGTCCTCCTTTCCCCACATCCCTACAGTTTGCCCTGGCAAACCGTGACAGAATCCCCATAACCAAAGTTAACTTAATCAGATTGTCTTGATTCATTTAGCCAAACCCCAAACTGCTTTATTTGTAATTGTTTTATCAAAATACATGCTGTCTAATAAATATGGAAGCATCAGTTCAACATTTTACATTTATCTGTTACTTAATGTTGTACTTTTAAACCCAGATACTAAAAGAAAAAGAAAATCTATAACGCATTCTGTGTCTGATACCTCAGCCTGCATTATCTGCTAATATTAATATCCATTACATATGTTTTTTCACCTCTTCTAAATAACTTAGCTCTTTATAACACATTTGTCTGGATGCACATCAGAGCTAAAAATATCAATTGTATAAATATCAATTTTACTTTGACTACGTTGCCACACCAAAATCTTTGAATACTGGTGTTTTAGGTCTCATTGCCACATGTGTATAAAAATCAAAACCCTAACCAGGCAACCTGCCTTTACAAATATTTGTTTAAAAAAAATGTTTCGCTCTAAAGAGCTCAATGAATTTGAGCAGAGTACTGTGATAGGATGTCACTGTCATAACAGGTCAGCTCATGAAATTCCCTCTCTCCTAGATACTCCACAATCAGCTCTAAGTGGTATTATAACAAACTGGAGGTGATTGGGAACGGCAGCAACTCAATTACAGAACGGGGTCACCGAGTTCTGAAGCGCATAGTGTGTAAAAATTGCCAACGCTCTGCTGACTCAGTAACTGCAGAGCTCTAAATCTCCTCTGGTGTTAACATCAACAAAAAAATTGTGCACCGGGAGCTTCATGGCATGGGTTTCCATAGTTGAACTGTAGGTGTAATGTGTAGGTGGAGCAGCACAGACACCAATGCTGGGAATAGACTGCTACATTCCTAAACACATACATTCTGTTTAACTCCTTTAGTTCCAGTGTGATAGTTCCTCCATCACCAAGTGCAGTACTTAAACCTATGCCTGGACATGTCACAGAATAAGTGACGCAACTGAATTAGCTCTCAGAACTTGCACGGATCCACACAAACGCACACGCATCTCCAGACGCCTCCTTATCGTTGTCATTGACCCACTGTAGCCTCCGGTCCCTATTCCCCTCTCGTTCCTCTGTTACTAGGCAACTATCACCTGGGTTACACACTCCATTTGAGATTATACCAATGCCAACCCTACCACTTTGGTTTCCATGGCAACCCGGCACCGAGCAACGGAGCCGTCAGGTTACGGAGGGACAAGTGATGTGCGAGTATATGTGTGTGCGTGTGGGTGTACACGTTTGATTGTGTTGTGTGTGTTTGTTTGTTTCCCCTTCGGTGTCAGAGACATCCCGAGTCGATGCAGCGAACCATGTGAAAATAACAAGAACGCAGACAGACGCAAGCAGCGTTTGTGAAGAAAAATGTGAGTTATGGGAGGTTATGTGACACTTAGGATTCTGTGTGTGCTTTCAATCACTACCATGCCCATACGTGATACAAATTGAAGAAGCTACCAGATTATAATGTGGAATAAAGCATCATAATTGTATAATAATTGTCACTGTTATTTTGGATTCTTCTGTGAAGTCATACAAAACACATCTCACGATACATTCAGAAACTCCTGCATTTTATTATTTGCCAGAAGGATGAGATGAATCTAGTAATGAAGGATTTGCTTGTGGGAGAAGGCAGGAACGCCGATCAGTTTGTCATCACATGCAGCAAGCGCACACATGTGCACAAACACACATACACAAAGCTCCTTATCCTTTCTAAAAAGCACTTGATGTCCAGTCATGCAGAACTTAAGGAAGGACAACTTAATTTAGAAGACAGGGAGACAAATGAAGATGAATGAGCCTTTTGATGTTCTTCAGCAATACATTTAAGAGAAGACAAGACTGGATCAAACTCAACATGTCTTTAAAACTATATAATCAGAAATAGTGAAGAAGGCCATACCTTCATGAAGCTCCTGACGTGCTCCTCTTCCTTTAGGAAATCCTTATAGAGTCTGCTCCAGTGGGAAACAAGCTGCAGTACTTTACGTTTCCTGAAGAGGGCATCTTTGCCCTCCTCCTGGCCCCTGCAGCGTGCGCTGCTATAGGTGACTGTGGTCAAGGAACAACAAAAGGGAATATGGAGTCTGAAATATGTGTGTTAATATGACTGTGTTTGAATCAATGCATGGTTTTCCTTGTAAGGATATTGTCCCAGCAGGGCCTGACAGAGGTCATGAGTGGACATGAACACCAGATACGTTAACAGGAAATCATCCAGCAGCATTTCTGAAAAACAGAAAAAAACATTGTTAAAAATCTAAAATCCAAGATATGTTTTCTCCTTATCTGTGGGATTAAGATGTGGAAAGCCAAAACAAAGTATCTTATATTCTTCTATCTTTCAATTAACTTCTGATTTCCCCAGATGAGCAGCAGAAGTTAGTTTCACTTTAAAAATCAATTACAGCTTTTTAAGATACAAAAGAGAGGTCGAACGATAAATCTTCAAGCTTGAGCTCAATGCCCTATTTTCTTCTTTTACTTGCCCTTCGACTAGACTTAAAGCAGCAATAATCACATGTTACATGAACAGTGTCTCTTTATAGTGAGGAATCCAAAGATAATTATAACCCATTTTCACAGTTCCCAGCAAAGCATTTTTAATAGTACACATTTATTAATAATAATAATAATAATAATAATAATGATAATGATACAGATGGATACATAGCAAACTACAACTCCAAACATTCACACTCTTCTCTTTCCCTTTACATGGAGATCTCCCCCTTCCTGAGCCTGGTTCTGCCAGAGGTTTCTTCCTCTTAAAAGGAAGTTTTTCTTTCCCACCTACACAAAGTGCTCGATCATAGCCAGCTGTTTGACTGCTTAGAGTTTTCTCGAGAATACTGCAGTGTCTTTATCTTACAGTATAAACTGCCTTGAGACAACCATTTGCGGCATAATTAAACTTGGATTGACATTAATTTAAATATTCTGGAGTTTAAAGTTACTTTCTTATGTCACCAATCACTCCCACACAGTCCTGACGAAGCAGATTATACTTTCTTTATAATTTTACCCAAAGCTGCTTTTTTTTGGGTCCCTGGGGGAAAATTTAAACAAACCTATGACAATGAGCAAGTCAGGCTTTTCTTCCTCTTGGCTCATTTTCCAAACAACTTCAAAAACAAAAAAAAACCTACTCAAATTTATCAGAGTGGAGCGAGCTAATGTGCAAGATAGAAGCCAAGAGTGTGTGTGAGACTCAGCAGGTGATCAATGGGTAAGAACCAAATATAAACAGCCCTCGTGGCAGATGGGTAATGAGCCATTGTTGGTGCTGTGAAGAAGTTGCTCTGTGTGTGTGTGTGTGTGTGTGTGTGTGTGTGTGTGTGTGTGTGTGTGTGTGTGTGTGTGTGTGTGTGTGTGTGTGGTGTCAACTCTTTCCCTGGGAAAATGTGTGACCCACATATGACTCTGTCAGGCAGAGAGCAAAGAAATCAATTATAGAAGACCGAGCATAGGCTGAAGCATTAATATTTTATCAACGGCCTTTGCTTTAAAAATAAAAACACAACTCTTGAGAAATATTTTAAGCAGGTCTGACAGTACTTATCACTTTTTCAGAACCCCGTTCACTCACTTTCCTCACACTTCCTATTCAATCTGAGGAAGTGGAGCCCTTTCTTGACCATTTATGAGTTCTTTTCCTGTTTCCCACCCTCTGTCTCTCCATCCTAAAGTATCCCCATCTACCCCCTCCTCCACTCCACACACCCCCATGTTTCATTTTCTCCTTCTTAGCGATTACATTTCCCCCTGCTACTTCTCTCCTCCTACATTCACCCTCTCCCAGCTCTCTGTGATGATAAATATCCATTTTCATCTTCAACATATGCCCTCTGCGTTTACCCGCTGGCACACACAAAGTCAAACACATGCGCTCAGACACATACATAACACCCTGATGAATAACTCACTGAGTTCTGACCTTGGGCATTTTATCTCTTGTGAGAGAGAAAGGGGTGGAAACAAGAAGAGAGAGAAACTGTGTGTGTGCTGAACTAATCGCACTAATCTGCTGCTGTGTTTTTGTTGCGTCTGTGTTCTCTTTGTGCGTGCACGGTGCACGGTGAGGGGTGTTTGAGGTAATCGCTGCGGAAGCGTGTTTGAGCCTGTTCAACATGCTGCACCGTTAAGCCACCTAAAACGGCATACTGATGCATTCACTCACACACACACGCATACACACACATACACATATGTGCTTATTCAGGAAACACCAACCATAATGCAAAGGTAGACATAGACACACACACAGATGGGGAGAAGATGAAGATAAATTTTGCATTCCCACTTCCTCCCTTCCCTGTGCTGTCATAAAAAAAGCAAGTGTTTTCTCATTTTCACTAAATAAATATCAGACAGAGCTCCTCCACAAAGACCATCTCAGTCCTCTCTTGCTCTCCTTCTCTCTCTCCCACATTTATCTCTCCGTCTTTCTTCGTTTGCTTCCTGCAATTCAGTGAGATGGCTCCCTGTGGACTGTTGGGAACTGGTGGTGCTGAGGGGGCTGATGCATAAAGGAGCCTTGTCTAGAATAGATGCTAACAGACAAGTGCAGGGTTTTATAAAATGAATGCTGGGACCCAGACCTCCCTCTGTGATTAAAGCATTATTATAGTGGACCTGGGATCTGTGATGGCTCTGAAATGTAATTAGAAGGAAAGAAGTCAAGACCCATTGATATTTAAGAATGCCAATTTTTCACCACGATTTTAGTGCTTTCTAAATTCAAATATGATAAAAGATTAACTAATTACATCAAGGATTGCTAATATTTCCTGAGTAAAAGATTACTGCACTATAAAACAATCCATAATGTAATAAGCTAGACTTAAGGTTTGTGTAAATGTGACATGACAGTTAACACTGAAATCGTTTGCGGCACAACTGCCTAAAGCACCCCGTGGCAATCATTTCACAAACCCATTAGAGCATTTAACCTCCTGAATGCTCCTCATATTTGTGGCCACTGACATGGCTGAATGAATGCACATACACGCACACCTGGATATGGTTTGAGGGCTGACTCATGCAGCCACACACAGGCTCAAACACAGCAGGGAAATGCTCATACCTCACAGGTCTGACCCAACTTCAGGGAAATTAAAAGAGACAGAGAGATCGGGGCTGGGTTGTGTTGTAACTTGCGCAGCTGGGAAACAAAGTCCTTGGCAAGAGGTGTGGGGCCTCATTTAACACAAGATACTAAGACTTACAATTAAACTCTACACATTTATGCCATGATGTAGATGGTTCTTCACAAAGACATGCCTCTGACTACAGCTTCAAAGACAATCAAATGTGTGTTTGTGTGTTTACATGTCTCCAAACTCACCGCTCTCCTTGTTCTCTGGTGCCCCTCTTTGGTCATCCAATCGTAGGTCACTTAGCAGATGCTCCAAAATCTTAAGCGGCGTACCGGACACCACCACATACCTGTAAGATGAAGAGTTGCAGTAATCTTCCTCACTATAGCAAGAGGACCAAGTACCACTTGTGTTCCTCCACCCTGCCACCCTGCCTTCGTCCATATACTCCTCCGCGTCGTCGTCATCAATGTAGCGAAAATGGGGAACATTAAATGCAAACATCTCTGACTTGCTTCCATCACCATCATGACTGCTATCCTCCTCTTCATCGTCATCGTCTTCATCACTATCTTCATCTAAATCCTCCTCTGCCTCTGCAAGCGTGACTAGCTCAGAGGTCATCTTCATATCTAAACTGTTCCCAGTTCAGCCCTGTAAGGGTCGCTCATTCTGGATGCAAACTGCTCTGCTGTCTGCTCCTGTCAGCCGAGAGCTCCAGAGATTGAAACCCTCTCTCTGACAGCTCCTACAGTAACTCTGACAGAGAACCAACGTCTACGGAAAACACTGAAAACTGCTTACACACACATACACACACACCCACTTAACCTGCCTGTCACTGACACTCCCTGCATTGTGCCTTAGGTCAAAGACTGTGGTATGCTGTGCTATGTGTATTCAATTCAAAGAAATCAACTTCGAAGAACTGCACTTGGAAAGGAACACAGATGTGTAATTATACGTACAGCATAAGATCCTAAAACACACTGATATATGGAAGGAAGTAAACCAGTCTTATGTGATCTATTTTCCTCTTCCAGCTGAAAACAAAAAGCCATTCTCTCCTTCCTGCACTCTGCCAGAAGCCAAAGCATACATTATCCTAGACAAACACATACACGCCCACACAATTTTGACAGCCCTACTGATATTCTGCTTGCATATGCAAAAGTGTGTGTCTGCAACTTGATATCCCAAAGAAAAAAAACTAAAAACCCAAAAGAGACAGGAGGACTATGATTATGTTTTCATTGCCATTGTTAGTGTGGAGGGCCCTCATTATGCAGGAGGAGGGACCAACCTCTTGTCGCAATCCTCCTCTCTGGACCCGCCCCCGGACGATGTTGGTGAGGGCCTGTCCGATGGCGATGTCACTGATGATGTCACTCTCCGCAACACCAATACGTCCCGACCTCTCTCCTTTAGACAAACCCTTCCTACCGCCTCCTAAAAGAGAAAATGTGAGAAAAATATAACATAGTCAGGCAAGGACAAAACCGCTGGAAGGCGATTAAAGGAGTAGACGCAAGATTTCAAACAGTACAGAACAATACGACGCATCCCATGTGACTTTCTTACGTACTCTGTAGTGGATTTGAACACTCTTTGTGGTTTTTGCCAACTTTGTTTATTTCCCATCTGCTTTTACCAAACATTTAAGCAAATCAACTGCCTCCTTTAGCTTATAACTGTGGTCTCTACGTGGTGTTCAATAAATAATATAAAATTAAAGCGAAGGATGCATTTAAAACAGTAATTATATAAAATATGGTTTGTGTGATTCTATTAAAGAAAGCAGCTAGCATGCAATTCTAGTTTTTGTAAACCTCTCAGATATTGCCCTTATTATGTGTTTTTCCAACACATAAGCAAACTCACACCTCAGTTTTAATCCACACTTTTAGACACTGCCTGTGTTGGCAGCTTCAAAGGGAAGGATTGCATTTCCTCTGCCTTTGGAAAGATTTCAAGAATTATATTACAATGAGGACATCTATGAATGTCAGCTTTAAATGATCTCCGGCTCCATAAATGTGCAGCAACTTGATCCATGACTCTGATACACGCACACAAACACACAGACACACGCTCCTGCTATGATGGTGCAGTGTAACAGTAACAGAGCTCCAGGTGAACGAAGGAGCACAATAAGAAAGAGCCGGAGGAGAAGAGAGAAAAGCAGAGGAGAGAGAGAGAGATCAAAGGAGCAGGAGAGCAGAGATGGATAAAGAAGCGACGTCTCTCCTCCAGATGCTCGCTGCAGTCTCTGTCCCAGCCAGAAGGACTGAACAGCAGTCACAACTGACACAGAGAGTCAGTGCAAGGCTGTTTTTTCTCTTTAGCTGGCCATAAAATTAACAATTTAGATGTAACATTTCCACTGACTGATAAAAAGAAACCAGACCTCTGAAAACAACACTAACTAGATCTTAAAAAAATGTGCTACGCTTCATAAAAGTGTGAACAACGCACTAGATAGTAACTGCTTTTGCAACGATCTGTGTCTAAAGTGAAAATACAGGGAGTGCAGAATTATTAGGCAAATGAGTATTTTGTCCACATCATCCTCTTCATGCATGTTGTCTTACTCCAAGCTGTATAGGCTCGAAAGCCTACTACCAATTAAGCATATTAGGTGATGTGCATCTCTGTAATGAGAAGGGGTGTGGTCTAATGACATCAACACCCTATATCAGGTGTGCATAATTATTAGGCAACGTCCTTTCCTTTGGCAAAATGGGTCAAAAGAAGGACTTGACAGGCTCAGAAAAGTCAAAAACAGTGAGATATCTTGCAGAGGGATGCAGCAGTCTCAAAACTGCAAAGCTTCTGAAGCGTGATCATCGAACAATCAAGCGTTTCATTCAAAATAGTCAACAGGGTCACAAGAAGCATGTGGAAAAACTAAGGCGCAAAATAACTGCCCATGAACTGAGAAAAGTCAAGCTTGCAGCTGCTAAGATGCCACTTGCCACCAGTTTGGCCATATTTCAGAGCTGCAACATCACTGGAGTGCCCAAAAGCACAAGGTGTGCAATACTCAGAGACATGGCCAAGGTAAGAAAGGCTGAAAGACGACCACCACTGAACAAGACACACAAGCTGAAACGTCAAGACTGGGCCAAGAAATATCTCAAGACTGATTTTCTAAGGTTTTATGGACTGATGAAATGAGAGTGAGTATTGATGGGCCAGATGGATGGGCCCGTGGCTGGATTGGTAAAGGGCAGAGAGCTCCAGTCCGACTCAGACGCCAGCAAGGTGGAGGTGGAGTACTGGTTTGGGCTGGTATCATCAAAGATGAGCTTGTGGGGCCTTTTCGGGTTGAGGATGGAATCAAGCTCAACTCCCAGTCCTACTGCCAGTTTCTGGAAGACACCTTCTTCAAGCAGTGGTACAGGAAGAAGTCTGCATCCTTCAAGAAAAACATGATTTTCATGCAGGACAATGCTCCATCACACGCGTCCAAGTACTCCACAGCGTGGCTGGCAAGAAAGGGTATAAAAGAAGAAAAACTAATGTAATGGCCTCCTTGTTCACCTGATCTGAACCCCATTGAGAACCTGTGGTCCATCATCAAATGTGAGATTTACAAGGAGGGAAAACAGTACACCTCTCTGAACAGTGTCTGGGAGGCTGTGGTTGCTGCGGCACGCAATGTTGATGGTGAACAGATCAAAACACTGACAGGATCCATGGATGGCAGGCTTTTGAGTGTCCTTGCAAAGAAAGGTGGCTATATTGGTCGCTGATTTGTTTTTGTTTTGTTTTTGAATGTCAGAAATGTATATTTGTGAATGTGGAGATGTTATATTGGTCTCACTGGTAAAAATAAATAATTGAAATGGGTATATATTTGTTTTTTGTTGAGTTTTTTTTTGAATCACAAACATACCTGTATAACATTTAGAAAAAAAACTGAGACAAGTTTGCAGAGAGCAGAGAGCAACACACACACACACACAAACACACACACATCTCTGGTATTGTACGATGAAAGGATCAGTCTGATCCCAAGAGACAGCAGGTGGGATCTGACTTGTGTCAGACAAAACAATATGCCCAAAGTGGTGTGTGTGTGCAGACATGTTTCAGTGATTCATATTCTATGGGAGTGTGACACAGATGTGCAGCAGCAGCCATCACATCCAGTGTGCTGTAGCGTGTCTAATTCCTTTTCTAAAGGAATGATAATTGCTGGTTGATGGTACCTTTACACCCCCTCCAACTTGTTAGAATAGTAGACTATCAGGCTGATCACCTGAACAGTTATTCAACCATCACACTTCCATGTTTAGAGCTCGTACTGTGATAAGCCAACAAGAAAATAAATATGTCATTGCACTGGGGTTTGTTTGTTTTTTGCTTAGTTCTTCTACTTTATATAACATTAAGTGTTACCTTAAGACCTTCCAAAACACAGCAAAGTAATAACTTTGATATAATTATTCTATACAGAAGAAACCTGAGCACCACCCCCTAACTCTTGTCAGGCCCAAAACATTCATACCAAAATAGCAAGGAATGCAACTGTGAAATCCCCTGGGGCTAAACTTTATCTAAATTTCGAGATAAACACAAACACTAAACTAAGCTGAATTCACAGACCTGAAAAGCAGACAAAAACACCATCCACCTGTAGAGAACAGGGACTTTCATAAAAGGACATAGTCCTAATTACATGATGTTTAATTTCCTCTATAACATGCTAAAAATAATCATACGGAAGGGTTAACAACACAGAAATGCAAACAGGATATTAGCAAAGCAGTGACAGCTCATCTGACAAACCATTATTAATCACATTATGGCCTGGCACAGACACCGCGCCCAGCGACCCTGATCTGGTGCCGAGATAACAAGTTTGGTGGCCTAAGGGTCTAAAGGGGACACGGCACTGAACAGAGACTGGGATCGGCTTTATCACGAGTCTCCCTTCTCTATCTCTGTTGACGCTTCCTGTCACTCTACACCATCAGATATATAATAAAGTGCTCTAGAAATACACTTAAAAAAACACACCCATTATGTAACCAATTACAACTACTGTAAAAACAAAGGAGAAGAAAATGTTCTGCCTTCCTGATTCAGTAGCAAGCTGTTGATCTTTCCGACAACACTTACATTCTTTACACAGATGCCAAGAAAAACAACTCTGAGCCAAGAATGGAGGAAGGCAGTGAGACAACACAAACACACGCAAGATCAAAAATCTTTCAGAAAATGCAGCAAAGTAAAACTTGCAGCAGTAACACTATGACAATTAGTAACATGCACGCAACATCTCACATACGCTTCTACGTCGTAAGTGCAAACAGCAAAATGAGAGAAAAAGCGTTTAATGTAGCCATGGAAAAGACGCAGAGGCATGAAAAAGTAAAACTATCCAAAAGGGCACTTGTGGAGAGGAGGGGTCAGAAAGTTATGCAATAGAAAAAGACAGTGAGAACAAAAAAGAAATGATAGATGAAAGGCAAGAGCCTGGGAAGTAAAGTGAGGGAGACAGAGGAGTGTGGGAGAAAGCAGCATTTACAAAAGACAAAAAACAGAAACATTTTACTCAAGCTGCCATGCGTTTTAGCAAAACATCTGATATGAAAGGAAAAACAGGGGATTTCAGGCAGTTACACATCAATGACAAAGAGAGAGCTTTCCAAATAAATAATGGACCTGTTTCAATGCCTCCTTACTTTACTGTCTCCCAATAACACCAACATATCAACCTCTAATGTATAGACTAAAAAAACTGTAGGTAAAAACTGTGGGTATGACATTTCTGAAATGTCTCAAAGGCATAAAAAAAAGAGCTTCTGACATTTCTTTAGACAGTCACTTGTTCTCTGCTAACAGGTGTATCGGTCCGTTTCTTCCTGTTCTCGTTGCTCCTTCCTCAAGCTCTCCTGCGTTCACCCAATTTTTCCTGTCCCCCCGCTCCCTCGCCCCCTGTCTGTCTCCAAATTGTGCAGACTTCATGCTCGAAAGGTTTGAGAAGTCGAAACAGAAAAAAGAAAGCTCAGAAACCTGGGGACACGCTGCACTCGTCACAGGGTCAAAGAGTTCAATTTGAGTGTGAAAAACGAAGGATATATTTATCATATATATATTCAGCTTTGTACAGGATTTGAAAGTCTCTTTTACCCTCACTGTTTCTATCAGTTAGTCACACACAGACACACAGCATGACGTAACATTGTCAGGAAAGGTGGATGCCCATGCAAAGCCTAAAGGAAGCACTCTCTGTTCCTTTCCTGTTCCTGCTAATGTATGTGTGTGTGTCAACACTGACCAAGCCATATCTTTGTTATGATAGCTCTGTGCCTGATTCCTGGAAATAATGGATAAGAGTATAACACACAATGCTTTTAAGTCAGCAGCACACAGATAGTATGTGCAACCACACATAGTGGGACACACATAAAGCATTAATCCCAAAACCTGCCCAGTGTGTAGTGCATGGTGTAACACTGAAGAACCCTTTGTGTAGGTGGACCTCTCGAAACTTCTAATGCTGATTAAATGTGGAAGAGTAACAAAAATGCAAGTCAGAAATGACTATTGAGAAATGGAAAAACCCAAAGCAATGCAATGACACATGAGTTAAATCACTATGGAAACAGCCCACACTGGTTTGTCAGAGCTTATCTGTCCCAAAAAAAAAAAGAAAATCACCATGACAACCCAGTAAAAGGAGAATGGTTTCTGTTGTGTATCGAGCTGGTCGTCTAGCTTTGGTTTCTGCTAAATTCTGCAGCCTGAGCTGAACGATGAGCTGAAACAATAACACCTACGAATAAAAGGTCAACTGAGTTTAATCAGGGCTGCAAAGCATCTTTGTTTCAAAAGATGTTTTTAATAATTTATGATGTTGTTTGGCTCAAAACTGACACACGTATTGGTCACATGCAGTTTAAACTGCTTACACTGTAGTGCTATACAGCAACACATGGGGATGTCACACCACACTTTTATGCTATAATATTAAAGGCATGGATAAATCAAATAAGAAATGTGGCCAGTAATGCACCTTACACTACTTGTGTTCTGGTATATGAACAAGTGCACTTTTTCTTTTCAACAAGATTTTGTCAATAAGGCACCTTAAATGTAAATTATACTTTGTAGAGAAAAAATGCTTTCAGTGCTGATGCGTCATTTATGTAAAGAAATCTACACACAGCCAGGCTGCTTTGAATTTCTGTTTGACATCCTGGAATAACCAAACAGTGTTCTGTTTACTCTGACAAAGTAAAAAATGGGCACGACTGCAGGATCAATAAACTACATTAACTTAAAGCTATACTTGCTCAGATTTATGTTACATGAGATAAATCCTTCAAGAGTCTAAATACAGATATAATGATATTGATACCTAAATGTTTAGAGCATAATGATTAGATTGGAGTCTAGTTGATCTCTCTCTTGCATCCCTCCTCTAATATATAAGATGATAAAATACAGTATATTTTTATTGTGTACATTTTCAAGAAATGAAACTAGATTTATGCACACTTTAGAAAATCCCTAAGGCTGGGCTTCAGTCAGACTCACACAGACACACAACCACGGTGATGCAGGGTGAAATGTGACTGCATTTCCTTCGTTTCCGGCCCTCAGGTGTACTGTAGAGCAGGATCATACAGTACAATGCTTCACTAACACCCCACTCATTATCAGCCCACTCTGACTCAGCCTGCCACAGGGCAAGCAGCACATGAACATACACATGCAAGCGCCCACGAATGATTATAAGCTCTAGCCAGCAAACTGACACACACACACATCTACACGCACACACACAGTACTTGACAGCGTGTAAAAAGAGTATGAGATCACGATGCGCTAAGCCATTATTAACACCCACATTAGATGAGCTACAGAACTGGTGTATGTTTAAAGTAAAGTGATCTGAATGAACCCGAGCTCTGGGCGTCTTCAGTGATAACTTTAGTTGGCGTGTGCATGTCAGTGCAGAATTGTGCCCTCATGTACTGAGAAAAGGTCTAAACAGGCCAGGCGTGCTGGAAAATACATGCATGCATGCGTGCCTATCCCTTAGCTGGACAGAACCACCAATAATGATGGTGCTGAGGAGGATTTACTCGCATGATCCCTGGCCTGAATCCATGAGTAACTCTGACCTGAGGTGTGTGTGTCCCTGCTTAAAAATGATGACAGTAATGACAACATTAACCGCATGACGTCCATTACTCTCCACTCACATTAAGCGTGCAGCCACAACTCTGTCTGCAGATTACATGGTAAGAGTTCACAAGACAACGTCAGCAGTCCTGCCGATACTATAAGATGTACTATAATATCAAACTATAGCACTCTCTACTCACCGCCTGGTTCCTGTCGGGTAGACGGTAGTTGTGGTTCTGCAGCAGCCGACAGCCGTCTTTGGCCAGCCGCTGCACGGCCTCCAGCCCCAGCCGGCTGGTTAGCTCCTCGCGACCGCACACGGTGCCCATCCCTCCGCCGCCGCTGCTGCTGCTGTCCCGCAAAGCACACACACCTCCCAGCTGCAACGCAGGAGGCATGAAGACATATCTCAGCCCGCAGTCCCAAGACATTGTAGAAACACTCAGAGTATGTTTGAGGAATGGAGGTCAACAAAGTTTGGTCATAATCCAGAAACACACAAGGAGAAGTTTTCTGTTGCCCCTATATATCCATGTGAGTAGGATAAGAAAATGTGGTAATCCTAGCTCTCTCTATCTAATCTTGTTCTCCCTGTTATTATTACTTGTCTCTTTATTCTTTTCTATCTATTACAGTCACTAATTCCTTTTTATCTACTGAACTTCTCTTTGTCTCAGTCTGACTGCTCTGTGTCAGAGGATCTGGTGGAGAAGGAATGAGAGTGTGTGATTAGTAGTATAAGTGGGCGGGAGTGGGTGTCTGTGTGAGAATAGTGTGCTAGGGTGCAAGTGTGGTGTCTGTCTCCTCCCCTCTATAGTCAGTACAGAAATCTGCTACTGTCCTGGTAGTCTAGCTGAGGCAGATGAAATAAGAAAGTGGATAAAAAGGAATGTATAACATCGTGACCTTAAAAAAGGAAAATGAAACAGGAACATATTTCCCTGAAATAGCTCAAGGATTCTGGAGAAACCAGTGCTTTTGTCCCTAGATATACCTGACAATAGAAAACATTACTGTGTGCTAGTATGATGGTTATCACCGGTGGCTGGTAGCCTGGTCTGTTTATTTTCCTTGGAAGAGAGATAGAAAGGGGACGGGGAGGGGGGGGTTCATTTGGCTGGGAGTGGGTGGGTATCCTTTCCTGTGGGCTCAACTATCCCACGGTGCCATGTTCCAATAGAGGGTAACACACACCCCTGCAGAACATCGCTCATTTTTGTTTACTAGGAAAACACCCCCCCTTCCCCCAATGGCACCACTTATCTGGCAGAATAGCCACGTACACATAGACATTATATCACAACCCCTGTGCCATGTCCCTTACTACTTCCTGCAAACCTGCTTTCAGCTTCCTGTCAACGACACACCAAGATAAAACGCTGACAAATGTGTGTACTTGAATTGTCCGCCTGTTTCTTTGATTTGCTTTAATTTTTCTATGATCTTCAAGTGTTTAAGCTAAATTAGAAAGCATTATATTTTAGAGCCTTTTGAGTTTAACAAAATATCTGCATAGGTTAAAAAAAAAAACTGTACGACAAAGGAAATGAAAGTTGAAATTCACATTGTTATCCTATACGTTTTGCAGTTGTACTTGTTTATTAACATGCAACACCTATGTTACCACTACAGTCTGCAGCAGCTCCTAAACAGCTCCTGCAGGATCAATGTAATGTCTGGATCAGATTCACTATTCGCTGTATCCACCTGGGTTGCATAGCAGTTTCCACAGCATTCACGACTGTACCAACATAGTGAGGAGTCCTACATCATTTACTTGTAAATGTACATTAGTGCCTATATTCATTTGCAAATGACTCTAATTCGTTTAAATTATGCACTTCATTTGTTGCTGGTAATTAAAGCAAAACTAGTTTAATGCGTTTGTAGTCAGTGAGAGGCAGAATGAGGAATGAGAGTGGAGAAGACGATTCCTCGTTAAGAACAGCTCTACTTCGAAGCGGCTGGATTCACAATGTGTTTGGGCTCATTTGGATATTTTCTCTTTTTCCTCGGCCAACAAAACAAATATGAAAATTTGAGCTTGTCTCATAAATAGCTTACTATGTTAGCCAGAACTCACTTCCAAGCTGCCAAAATCCAGATAACACAACATATTCAAACAAAATAACACTGTGCAGTTAGACTTTGTGGATTGATATTTAAAAGGAGGGATCAAGAGAGTAAAAGGAACGTGTCACTGTCAATTAGCTTTTCAGTATATGTGAAATATAAAAATCCACAGAGGAGCAACAACTGAGCAACAGCACAACACAAACACATACCAACAACATCCAGTGAACTGAACAGGTTATAATAGAATTGCTGCAGTCAGAAGCAAAATATAAATATGTTTAAACATATATGTTTTACTCTCTAAAGAATACTTTATCTGCTTTAGACCTCCACATTTTTTTCAAATTGATCATCATTTACACTGAAAATAATAGAGACATCTAACACATCACAAGGCATCACAACAAGCTGAAGTGTGATGAGCCAAAAACCAAAGAGTGGAAGTAAAATGTAAAGTGATCCGTTGGCTCTGTGTATGAAATGGTTTATGTACATCTAGGAGGGATGGCTCAATGCACAGTGCCTTTTTCCTATGATGAACTATTTCTGTCTTGACTGCAGTAGTCTCCTCCAGGAGGTCTCAATATGCATGGGGCTTGAGTGGTCACTAAATGATTATCTGACTACCAATATTACAAGCCTAATATGCTATGGCCTTTGCAGTCACCCCAGATCATCCCACCTAGGAGAGGCTTAGGACCAAGGTGTCAGGCTAATGTACTTTTAGCATTTGAGAGACACAAATTTCATTATTAGAGGGTGAACAGCTTACGATGCACTTTCACATGTTGTGACCACACAAACTAGTTGTATCAAACTGTACTGTCCACAAACTACACTTGCATGCTCCAGGCAGACTTGACAACAACTACTTCTTTGTGATCCATGTGCATGTCTTCAAGCACGTATAATCCTAGCCTTAGACAGTGCTCTAAACCACCATCATCAAAATACCAACTAGGGAATAACCTTCAGAAGAATGGTGTTTCACCGATGCTAAAAAGCACTGAAGCTATTCTAGTGTTGCATGATGACCCAGCACCTCACTACGACGCTATATGGATTTTCCTTTAATCTGTCACCCATCCGTACACATTACTATATGTGTGCAATTGTGTTTAAAAGCTGTTCTTCCTCCTGTTTTCTTGCTCTTTCCTCATTTCTTCGGTGTATCCACCGAATTAATAATTCATAGAGAGAAAGTTCTGGCTCTACATAGTTGGGACCAAACAGATCTCCCTCTGCACTTTGCTCTGACCCTGTTTTCTACATTCAACCCCATGTGTACCCCCTACATAAATTCAACCTGCAACCTTTAAGAGACAAAGATAGATTAAGCAAAACAATTATCATTTTTATCTCGTCATTTGGAGGGGATCTACAAAGTCTGTCTGTGGATCAGACTTTGTATTGCTGCATCAAGGAGCTACTAGAATGTGTTTATTGTGCCCTATTTAGACACTGAAATAGCTTCTTAACAGTAATGCAACAAGAACACAAACTGATTCGGCTGTAGGCCTACTTCAGGCAAGTGCAAACTGTCGAAGCAGCAGATTTCTTTTGTAAATGAAATTAACTTTGAAAAATTAATTGAAGGACAAGACTATGGTTAAAAGAAAAAAAGGGGGGTTAGAGACGGTTTTTACTGCGTGTGTTACCGGACTGCTCTCCTCGCTGGGCGTTCGAGGCTCCTGGTGGCTCGTCTCTGCTGTCTCAGAGTCCTGCTCTGACACTGTAACCAATCAAACAGCAGCACATTAACACGTTTCTTCTTACAACATGACATTGTCCTTTTCATTCTGTCTTCTCACTGTGGAAACATTGAAAACACACACACATACGCATCAACTAAATGTACTTACAAGCTTTACGTGTCTTTCGCGCAAGAGCAGCCGCCAACTCACTTTGCACCTATAAGAAAGAAGACTGAAGATGTTAGACCACAAAAACATACACAAACACATCTGGTGAACTATAACACACTCCAGTTTTCATCTAATGTTTATCTCATTAGATGATGATGCTGTATTGACCCTGCCACACTGACCGTAGAAGTGAGTCTCTCAAGAGCTTTCATCTGAAGAATCTCACTGCAGATGTCCCTGTTACCTTCAGAGTCTTCCTCTGACCTTGGAGAGAGAGAAACACCTTTACTGGTAACTAACTGGTTCGTAAAATTTAAATAAAAAACCCCACAATGACAAAAGTTTCTTTTTAAAGTCCTCACTACACTGCCCCCTGGTTTAATAAGAAAGAACTACAGCCAGATCTATTCGTCTGAATAGCAGCGATGTTGGTACATCACCACTTTCCTATTTAATAAATTAAATAAGCTGACTTTTTTTGTGGTGGAACCTTATTATAATTTTACAGTGACTTCATTAAGGTGGCACAACAAGTTCTCAAACAACAACCGATGAGAAATCTCATTGTAAAATATCGTGAAAGTGCACAAGACTTTTTCGTGACTTTGTTTTACCTGTATTCAAAGTTGCCAATTACAATTAAATAGAAGTTTTGACATAATTGTTCTATAAAGCTGATTATGAATGCTAAACATTTTTAATGAAAATTAAATGAAAACATGACTGCTAAGGTGAATTCACGGGGAAAATCGTATTTCCTAAAGTTGTACCGACCCATCTGAGTTATCATCCTGTGTTTATAGTTCCTCAGGGCCTGCATGGTTTTGTATTAGGAACTTCTCATCGGCCCTTTCTCTTTTTCATGTGGTTTATGCAAAACAGCTCGGAGACACACCCTTCTGTTGAAGTTAAAGTGGCCTAGTTTGTGTGTGTGTAGATACTGGCAGTGAGTACATCGGCTCACAATTTATATAGATGTGCAGCTCTTGTTGAGTTTTTTCTAAAAGTGCTCTGTGAATATATTTAGGTTTAACTTCATTTGTGTGTGTGTGTGTGTTTTGGGTAAACAGGCGGTTGTTTGGGGGTAAACTCTGCAGTATAACTCAGTAATAATACAAGATTGCACTGAGTTTGCCTTCAGTGGCGACACACTGCACCCGAGGGCCTCTCATCTAATATGTTCTCTTACAAAACCACTGTTTGAATTGGTCTCCCACATACTGCCTCACCCCCACATGACACACACATATATTCTCCCTGCCTCCAGCACACAAACACACACTCACGCACGTACACACACATGCCCCAATTTGCATACAATTTGGATTTTATCAACAGGTGCCGTAGGCACTTGTAATAGTTGTAGAGGAAAGAAGATGAAGCCCTGTGTGACTTTGTGTGTGTGCATTTGTGCTTGTGTGTGTGTCTACACTGTAATCTGATAAGAGAACGGTGGATGCAGAAGCAGGAGAGATGGTGATAACGCATAGCCTTCAGCCTGACACTTCAGCTTTGGCATAGACAGAGAGAGACAGAGGCAGGCAAGACATCAGATGCCTGGAAGGAGAGAAAACCTTTCCTTATAGCTTAATTGGTCAGAATTACTGGTTTCTGTTAACAAACTCAGTGGAACAATAGGAGCAAATTATTCATTTTTGTTTGTTTCATACTTTACATTTTTATTACCCATAAAATCTAGAAGCCCATTACAAAACAAAGTCTATTCTGAGCCATGAAAATGCTAAATTTATTCCAAACAGTGTCCTTAATTTTGTTTGCTGTTGTTCATTTGGTAATTTGGTGACTCACCATGAGCCTGAATGCACCAGAGCTGAAAAAGAGGTGCAGTAGGAGGTGTGTCACCGGTCATTAAACAACACAAAGCAGAAATTGATACGAGATTATGATGATGGGTCACCTCCTTGTTCAAATTGTATCAGAGTGCACAGCACAAAGAGCAATCTTTGACACAGAGTTCTTCGGTCAGAATAATACAACTACATAACGTAGACACTGCGCACACGCATGTAGCCATGATCTGAATTTTTCTAGTCTAACAACAAAATAAAGGCTTTTCAACGGACTGCGACAGACTGAGTGTGAATCATAAGGAGGACGTGTTCTATGGAATAACCTCCTCTCTAGCTAAAACCCTTCGCTATTCTGCTAGACTGGCTTTTTTGGCTTTACTCGCCTCCCTTTTAAAATAGAGAGGGCTATAGATCGTCTAGTGTAGTACCAGAGGACTATGCAAAGCAAGCAAGTACGTTTTCCCCTCTCAGGCGAACGGTGGCATATTTTAGCTCCTGGCAAGTCTGCCTCTCCTGCACAGTGCAGAGAACAGCGTTTTTCCACAGACAGGGAAACCAGCAAAATAATTGTTATTGACAACCACCTCATACATCACACAGTAAAGTGTGTATATGGACTATGGGTTACAGTATATGAAATACACAGTGTCATGCAGGATAAGAAAGGGATCCAGTGTCTAATAAATTGTTATTTTTGAAACATTTCCTCCTTTTGTCACTTTTAGTGTTGCTTGTGATCTCAACTTATTAACTTTTTAAGCAGTTGACACAATATTGTGTAAATTGTTAAACTACTGTAGTGTAGATTGAGTTGTACTGCACTCCATAATATTCAAAATGTAATGTTTAGTTTAAATCCTTAAATGTAAATGTAGCAGAGCTTATTATACTGAGTTATGTCACACTGGGAAGATGCTCATATGCATGTCGCTGTGTCATGGGATTTGGCAGCTGTATGCAGTTGATATTCAGTGCATGAGATATATTGATGTTCACATCTAGAGTACCCAAGACATTTCTATATAAGCAAGATTTACTCTTTATGTAATGGGAGGTAAAGCGTTTGGAAAAAGAATGATGCCAATCTCAATTTTTTTTAATTGCTGTTGTCAAAAAAAGCTCATTAAATGAAAACGTCACTGACTTAATCAAAGAAAGATTCTTGTATGACAATATTGCATTCGCTCATGTCGCAAGTTTAAACTTGCAATCTGCCTGAAACCATGACATTCCTGTCAATTTATAACAGCGAAAACTAACAATGAACTGACAAATCTCAGTGATGAAAATGTGCCTGAGAGCGTGTCATGTTGAGGTCCTTGGAGACAGAGTGACAGTGCTGGCGTTAACTGAATGATATTGAATGAAAGTAGTAAACCTCTTCTACACATGATGCACCAGAGCAAGCCCATTTAATTAGAGACGTGTCCTTCTTTTGCTTTACTGAAGCAGCAATCACTCAATGGTCAGCTCAGGCTGTGCAGCCAGTATCGTTTTAATTGTTCTCTTGTTAGATTAAACGGTAAAACACATGACGCAACGGTTCATGGGAGGCAGTCACACCAGACTGCAATTTAAATTTTGCTGCAGCATCTTTTTTTAAATATGCATTATGTAATGTTAGGTGATGTTTTATTACAGTTACAAAGAGAATCAATATCAACTGAGTCATATATTTAACAATTCATCAGCTCACTTTGAAGCAACTAGTAGAGTAACGTCAGCTATTTTCGGCTACAAATATTCTCTAAGAGGGCCAGAGGATGTAAGAAAGAGAGAAAGACAGAGAGAAATAGCCTGCAGAGAAATGACGCGACAGGCAAAGACAGACGCAAAGCAACAGAGTCAAAGTAGCAGTGCGAGAATCCTGAATGGAAAATCTCATTTTTATCTGGTCTATAAAAACTAAATTGCTTCATTTTATTCAGATGCAGTTTCCAAAAGAAAATCTACAATCTATTTGAGCCAATATGGCACTACATCCATATTGATTCTTAGGACAGACATATTTACAGTCTTTTAAATATAAATGAGTGATTCAGCATGTTAAATATGCAATAAATTTCTTTTTCTTTCTCAAATCAAATTTATAAACTCTTCCAGCACCTGGTAGGAGTCTGAGTGCACATGTCGTGCATTATTATGTATAGAAAATAACCATACCTACAATGCAATACATGATAGTCACATTCAAATATGACATTCAATTCCCCCCGACTGTCTTTTTGTCTCTCTAATGTCTCTAAATGCACCTTTTGATGTTGTTACTCAGAATTTCCTAGGCACGTTCCCTTGTTCCTTCGCACAAACACACACTGGTCCCTGCTTTTGTCTGACTGATACATCGAGTTCAGTAGCAGCCTCGACAGGAACCCCACACACAGAGCAACAAAGCAGGGAACTCTGGATGACACCGCTCTGCATGTTTGTTTCTGTATGCGTAAGCATGCATCAGAGCTCATCTCGCATATTTGAGCGATCGCATCATGCATCAGCTTGTGTGCAAAGGCGAAGGCTGATTTTTTTCTAGGGCTGCGGAGGTGTGTGCGCCAGCAACTGGATGCGTCTCTCACATAAGCAGATTGGGGATTTGAAACAGTGAATAGAGATTAAGTTCCTTGTTGGGATTTGAGGAAAATCTTGGACAGCGTGTGTATTTGAGTTGCAAGGTCAGATATGTACTTGCAAGGATTGCAACATTTCCGCCAAGTCAAACACAGTCACATGTCTCTTTGCACAGTACATCAAATAGACAAATGGCCTCAATATAAACCGGAAACCTGTCGCTTCAGCTTCGATATTTTATTAGTGCAACAAGCTTCCACTTCAGGTCAGTGGAGCTGTGGTATCTGTCACTAAGATTCTAGCAACAGATCCTTTAAGTCCTGTAAGTTGTGAGGTGGGGGTCCCCATGGATCGGACACGTGCCATATGGTTACCGAGCAGAACATTGCCCGAAGCTTCACACCGCCTCCGTGTGCATCCTGTTGCCAGGACGCACACGTACCCGGCCATCCACATGATTCATCAAACCAGGCCACTTTCTTTCGTTGCCTGGTTCTGATGTTCACACGCCCATTGTTGGCATTTTCAAACTGAGGACAGGATCAGGACAGGCATCCACCTTTCCATCAGAACTAACACTAAATCTGTTTGCAATTTGACCTACAGTAATGCGTCTGTTGAATTGGACCACACAACTCAGTCTTCGCTCCCCACATGCATCTGTGACCCTTGGCCAGCCATGGCCATATCGCTGGTTTACCGCTGTTCGTTCCTTGGACCACTGCAGAATCGTCACGACAATTTTGGACCTCATCAACATTGAGGACAAAATGTTCCCTTGTTTCCCAATATAGTCCACCCACTAACATGTATCATAATGAATGTTATTCCTGAGCAGTGTATTTATTCATGAATTTTTGTATCTTTTATTCAAAATTTTATCTGCAAGAAAATATTTGAGGCCAATACTTAAAATACTATTTATGAATTATAAGTGATTCAGATTTACAACATAATCTTTCCAATACATAGTGTGCATTTCTATAAATCCATACATGATCAGATTTTACTGGACACTTACGGACTATTGGCTCCACCTCCTGAGCGGAATTGGACATATGGAGCTAGTTGTAGGAGGAGCTTAACAGCCTCTGGCCACTCCCCCTCATTGTAACGAAATTCACAGGAGGGAGAGTCACACTCCTCAAAGCTGAACTGGTAGTAAGAGTTGGAGTCTGAAAACACCACCCGCTGGTCCACTGGAGAGACAACAAATAGAAACACATACACTGTGATGAAAGAGAAGCAATGGCACCTTTTAAAGCACATATGCTGGCAGCATGCTTAAAGGGGGCTTCTTTTGTATCAGAACCATGTTGTCTCATTAAGCGTGTAATATATAATTAATAGTTCAAGTGTATAAATATGATCAAAGATTGTTATGCCTAAATCACAATCAAAGCTAACAATCAGTCAGGTACGCGCTCAAGCGTTTCTCAACAGAAGTTGCCATGTGGCACGTTGCTGTTCTGTTTATTGATTATTATTTAGTGCAATCTTTGTGGAGATAAACATTATACACTCAGTGGCCACTTTATCAGATACACATTTTAAACTACTGAATTTAAAACAGCCTCAAATTGAGGAAGAAAGTTGATTTAAGTGACTTTCAACGAGACACGGTTGTTGGTGCCAGAAAGGCTGAAATGAGTATTTCAGAAACTATCGATCTACTGGGATTCTCCCACACAACCATCTTTGGAGTTTACACAAAATGGCCATGAAAGAGAAAATATTTAGTGAGTGGCAGTTCTCTGGGTGAAAATATGAGGTCAGTGGAAAAAGACAAGAGTGCTTTAAGCTGATAGGGAGACAACACTCAAAAAAACACTCAATAACGCAAAGTATGCAAAAAGAATCTCTAAACACAACATATCGAAACTTGAGTTGCACATGGGCCACAGCAGCAGAAAACCACACCGAGTGCCAAGAAAAGAAACTGAGGCCTGAGTCACACAAACTCGCCAAAACTGGACAATAGAAGATGTGGGTCTGACGAGTCTCAATTTGTGCTACAACATTGAAAAGAAAAACATGACTCCATCCAGGCTTGTGTCAACAGATCAAGCTGCTGGTGGAGGTTTTGGAGCATTTGAAGCTTGGGTTCCTTAGTTCCAACTGAGCATCGTTGAACACCAGAGTCTACTCACGTTTTGTTTCTGATCATGTCCACCAGATCTCAGTCCAATAGAGCACCTTTGGGATGTGGTGGAACGGGAAATTTGGATTTTGTATGTGCAACCGACAAATGTGCAGCAACTGTGATGCTGTCATGTCAACTTGGACCAAAATCTCTGGGGAATGTTTCAGGCACCTTGATGAATATGTACCATGAGGAATTAAGGCAGTTCTGTAGGCAAATAGGTGTCCTGGTAATAGTAAGTGATCCCTAATAATGTGGCCAGCAAGTGTATATATTATAATATCTACAGCGGTAAAGCCTTCTAGAAGAAAGCATCAAACAAACAAAAAAGGCTGTCACACTCTTAAAACAACCACCAGGAAGCAAATTATTTAAGCCACGCTGATTTGATTTTTATGTTTAACAGCTATTTAAACAACAACTGTGCCCACTGTAAATGTATTCTGTGTGGGTGAAATCCACACGGAGTGAAGTCTAGACAAGTACTGATGTGAGTCAACGCCTTCATGTGAGTTGTTACCTCCGCCAAAGAGGAGGAGGTGTGATTGGCCTGGTTTGTCTGTTCGTTTGTTTGTTAGCATGATTGCTCATAAAGTTTTGTATAGATTTGCATGAAAATGTAACCAGAGATGTGGCTCGAGGCAGTTTAGTCAATCCACATCTGAATCAAAGAATTCCTGGCAGGATTATTTACGACTGCGAGTTAAAACAAAACTGAACATCATATCACCACAGATCCATAAAACATCTGAAGAAATTTGGAGACATTATTTTGATTTTCAAGTCAATATCACAAACTCATTCAATTCCAGATATCTTGGATTCAGGGACTCAAGGCACACATGGTGTAGGTGGAATTTTAGCAGAGGTGCACAGTGTGGGAATTTTTCCTCATATCGAATTAGTACTGACAAAAACGAATGAGCACTTCTAAGTTGTAGTTAACGAGCAGAGACACAGCAGACAGAGTCGAAGTCCTTTTATGAGTAACTGTGGATTAGCCAGACTGATGAACTGCACCTGAACACAACTGTTCATCCTCTGAAGAAACATTTACTGCCTTTAAAAGATGAATTTACAAAGATGAAGAATGCAAACAAATGTTTATATTACCCCGTTACTAGTCCACTTACACCCAGGCACAGCGGGGTATGAATGGAGCAGTCTGATGTTAGATTAACAGACTCGTAGATGTGTCAGTGCTTAGCAGGGTGTTGTTAACAGGGAGATGTTTTGGGGAGAATAATTATTGAGATTATTCGGGTTATTGGGGGCTTCAGTGTAATTTAATTGTTGGAAGTTTTATCTCAGAGAGCTAATTCTGATAGTTCATTTGACAAGATCTTAATTTAAAATCAGGTTGAATCAGAAAATGAAGCTTTTTATATTACTTTGTTTTGTTTGGAACTGGTATCTCTAAAGATGTGTAGATTGTTGTTGAAGGTGACTGTGAATGTTAAAATGCAGTACACTCCGCAGGCATGGTCGGTGTTTGTGCGTGTATGTGTTTTTACCAGACAGCAGGACTCCCAGCTCCAGCAGCACCTGCCAGACACGCACAGCGGTAGTCCGACAGCGCACATACACACATTGCTCACACAGCCACTGCACCAGCTCCACTCCCACATAGCTACGCCTGTTAAAATACACAAATGAAGATTTTCAGCACACAAATATGGCTACACAGTGTTAGCATGCATAATACATACACACACACACACTCATATGCTATTCTTCCCTTGGCACACAGTTTGTCATTCTTATTTAGTCAATACCCATTGATTATTCATTAGTTCTCTGTAAGCCTTTTCCTCCAAAACACTGAACTATTCCCATCTGCGTTCCCTCAAATAAACTCCTCGTCCATGTGTGCTTCTAAATGCGTTTGTCTGACTGTACGTGCAATGATTGTTAAGAGTATCTATTTATTATTTCCCCAAGATGTTTGGACTGATTTTACATACATTTCAGTGTAACGTTACATGCCCCATTGTAGTACATGTATTCCCAGACAACCTTGTGCTTCACTGCAAAACATCTACATCCTGCTTAGTTCGTCACAGAGCAAAAACAAGTTGAGCGACCAATAAGGATGGAGCACAAGAGTGACTGTGAGTCAGTGTATATGCTTCACTGGACTCATCGATTCAGGTCTGCACAAAGACACGCAAATAGACAGAGACAAGTGTACCGTATGATTCTGGCCAGGTGTATCTTGTCCTTTGCTGGGTATGGTCCATGTGACAAGAAAGCATTCCTCACAGCCCGACCAGCACATGGAAAACTCTGGGAACAAGACTGATATAGAAACAATAACATAAAAATAGTGTTATAATGTTAAAACCTGCGAACTTAAAAACTAAAAAAGGACTAAATGCCAAAACTCTCAGTATTGGTTTAAACATGAATTTTTAAGTATAACAAGCTAATGTGGCTACATGCAGCTGTCATTGACTGGCTCACAAGGACAGCTCGATTTCTTTCCCCCTCAGGAACTGAACATTGACCGTCTACACGCTCAGCAATAATCCTGCTATTGATGCTACCGTAAATAAGACCGTATTTCAATTAAGCTGGTTACATGGGCTGTTTGTTCTGTTCTATTCATATTCCCTGTTACATTCAGCAGAGTGAGGCTCACTTAGAAGCTGATGAGGCTCCACTCACATTATGTTACAACATTAGAGACTCTCTTTATGTCCCTATCCCATCTTTTTTATGTAGTGCAGCTTTGTGGCTGCTGTGTACACAGGTTTTTCATAATAGATAAGTCACTAGGCAGTACACATGGTACCTGAAGAGTCCTATATATATAATGCATATAATGGCATTATAAAAAGATGAGAAGAAGCATGAACACCGTGAGAGGATTTCTTCACTTTGACTCAAAGAGAATTTTTATAAGTTTTGATGGTTAAAAAATCAGGATCACTTTGACTCTTTTTGGCTAGAACTCACAAATTTTGTAAAAGTAACCAATTTTCACAAAGACAATCCACTAGGACAGAACAATGACATTTTAACGTTTCATAACCAAGGTTTAATGCTGTGCCTGGACAGACCTGGGTGTAAACAGCAACTTTAATAATTGTCATCATATTATCATGCAAAGGTAAGAGCAGAAAACCAGAACATCAGTGTTAGACAAGTTCATCAGGCTCACAAAGGCTCCATCAAAGTTACAGGTTATTCTTGTGCGTGAAGTGTAGCACACTGTTATATCCAAGACAACTGAATTTAGTTAACCACTAAATGAAGGTTCAGGAGTATTATGAGTCCATGGTCAATGGTAACCACGCCAAATAAAGAATGGAAATATGTAAATGCATCAGCATGCCGTAGCATTGACCATATTACCATATTACAGGCAACAACCGTGCCTTACTAATGTGCGACCCAACCAATAGGACAACACTCTCCATAACAACGTGGAAAAACAACATTTCAACAAGTTATTACATCATTTGGTGTTTCAGTAAGTTATTTATTATCATTTTATGCAAAACTTGTTAACATCAAGACCTGCCATCAATAGTTTGAACTGAATATTGTTCAGTACATCAGGAGCAAGAATTTGATGAAATGGAAAGTAGTGTGCATGAAAGTAATACTGTGAAACTGAGGACCCATTAGGTGACCACTGTGTGAAAGTTTGATTACATTCTAACTAATACTACAGGAGTAGTTCATTTGTCCTTTGACCAGACGAGGTAAAAAGTATTGGAAAAGGAACATTTAAAGTGGTTTGAAGTCTGAGTTAATTTCCTAATTAACTGAAACTTTGGTTATGTTTAATATGAACATTTACTACCGTGATAGTAGATTTTTGAAAAAAACAAACAAACAAACAAAAAGCAAAAACACAACAGGACCCCTTTAACTTTAAGGTACTAGCTTGTGGTTGTTCATCAAACTATAAAGGAAGAATTTAAAATTTCTAAACTCGAAGCAGAATTTCTGATCATTATTGGGGGCGGGCAAAGTAATGTCATCAAAGCCTGCGAAACGAATAGCCTCAGTTCATCCATACTCACGAGGCCCAAAGTTGTAAGGTGGAGATCAGTCTTAACTGTCTGACTAATAATCATCATCTAAACTAACCCGCCAGGTTTATTGATTAGTCTAGCTTTCAGTTACCAGATTCAGTTAGTTTTCACCTCCTGTTTGTTAGACAAACTTCATAGCAAGATTTAAAATGGCCTAGCAAAGACTGCAGCTTCTTCTTTCAAAGATCTCCTTGCATAGGTGTTCATGGAAAGGTTTTCAGAGTTGTAATGCTTTAGGCACTACATCAGATGTTGTGTATGGAGACTTCATTAAGTATATAATGACATACAGCCAATAAAAAATACAAAGTACTGAGGGGCAAAACAACCTGGCAGGTACAAACATTTTTTGGCACAAGTAACAGATTTGCTTTTGAATACACCACAGCTCCTCCTCAGATGTTGATTTCTTTGCTTTACTTTTTCTATCTTTGGCTCTTTTTTCCCCGGTGTTGAAAGGAAAACTTCTCCTGTGTGATATTTAATCTTTGAGGTCTTCAGAGTGCTGTACACACACATATTTGAATTTCAAATTAACACTGTGTGTGTATGTGTGTGTGCACGCGTCTGTGTAGTTGGTGAAATTAGCCTGGAAAAACCCTCAGGTAATATCCCCACTGATGTAATTTGTGTTAGGATTAAACAAACACACTTTTGCTTGACAGCAAAACTAAAAGTATGACATCACTTTCATGTGTGCGAGTGTTCCCTTACCTTATGTACAGCAGGTCCAGTGCTTGGTCCGGGGATAGTGTCAGGTGATTGCTGTTGAAACACAAAACACAAGCCATCAGAGCCAAAACACACAAAATGACACACACAGAGTAAATACACTAAACAAACATGAGTGAGGTGAGTGAGGCCAGTTTTACCATTCCCAAACGACTAGGTTTTGTTTAAGCTTACTTTCCAGTCGATTGGGTGCTTTCATGCTAACACCTGTTACTGCAATAAACCTAATAAACCTCAAGAACATGGCTATTAATTTATCTAATAAAAATATCACAATCTGCTTATTTAAACAGAAGCGTTTTCTCTCTGACATTAAACCCGGAAAACTACAGCAGTTCAAATCCTGAGCAATATAATTCCAACTGCCAGCTCACTTATCACATCGTAACAATGACACTACAATAAATCCTTTCTTCTTACCACCATCATGACACCATTTTACAGCATTTGCCTTAGGTGTATCCACTGCACCTCTACTTCCCTAATCAGAAAATAAGCTGTTAATCTTTATGGATTATTATGGCGCCAGGGAAGGAAGATAACAGTGTTGAGACCGTGTTGACACACTAGCCCTAAAATAGATTAAACTTGATAGTAATTGTTAGATCAAGTAGACCGCAAACGAACTTCATAGAGACCACAGTTTCTGTTCCACTCTAGTGTGTACAGTATGATGTCATTTCCTAACTCCTTGTCTTGCTTCCTAAGAGCCCCATTTTGAGTGGGTCTTAACAGTTAATGACTCCTTGTGGTTTAAAAATACAACAACTGGTAATTTTTTATGTTCCTTTTCAAAGAATAAAGACCCCTTTGTATATGAGGTACAAAGGTTAATTTAATAAATTTATTAAACCACCTGTATAAGCTACAAAAAAAACCCAAGCTAAAATGTTTTATACCCATACTGGGCATCTTTGAGAAGTCAGGAATTAATCAAGCATAACATTCAACCAGTAGAATAATAATTTTAAAAAACTGTAATTTACCACCTTAATCCAAAAAAATGCTTTACTATATGCTTTACATTTTACTGTATAACAGTAAACTCCCATTTGTAGTACAACCTGACTAAACCAACTATGAAAACATTTGCTCTAATGCAGTCTTTTACTGCAGATATGTAGCCAGTACTTAATATTAGTTTTGCAAAAGCACCTCGCTACAATGATTGTAAAAAAACGTGTTACTTTATCCATAACCTGTTACTATTCACCTCCCCCAGTCTTTGACAAAGCTTGTTCAACACTTGAGAGAACAAAAAACCTTTGTTAACAGTGACCAGCAGAAAATAAATAAAGTCAAAATGAAAAATCCCTACAAATATTTCTCATTCAAGCACAGATACTAAGGACAGGATGACCATTTACATAAACATTAACTCCACTTTATAATGCCACACCTAAATCATCACTGGTGTAGCCCGGGGTTTTTCAAAGTTAACGCTTCAGTTATAGAAAAATCACCTCTCTCTAAACAAGGTGTGGTAAGAGACTTTAGCTTAAACAAGCTTCTACCTGCCAGGTGAAGTGGCTGTCTTATTCGTTTTTATCTCAAATAACTCAGCTCAGACAGAAGAAATTAGGTATTTGCCACTTCATATAGAGCAAAGGTGTTACTAATAATGTGAATGATGCCTTCATTATACTCAAGTCCCACTAAGTCATGACTTTGTCATAGTGTAAAAGCAACTCGAGGTGACTATTGCTCTGAAGGGGCACTATGTAAAGTACTGTGTAGTCTTCAGTTACCCTCATTTCTTTACATTTTGCTAGATAAAAATACATGACAGAAATAGATGCAGTGATTTATCAAAACGTGTGCATACAGAGAAATACAGTACACTACAGTTCTAACAAGCTTGAAAAATCGATATTTGGTATGGCCACCGTTATCCTTCAATACAGCCTGAGTCTTCAGGGATAGCTCAGTAGAAAGACATTCAAAGCTGCTCTTTAGATTTTTTCTGCCCTTTGTTCTGTTCTCTGTCAACATGATCCCACACTGCTTCAGCAGCACTGTTCAGGCTCCGGAGAGGCCAATCCACAACTGATTTTGATTTCTGTGTTGCACTGTGTGCTTTTCTATCCAGGTATGCAAAACCTTACGGCACTTTTCTGCTTTCATACCTCAAACTATTTTGACACGATCCCCACCACCACTGGCTAAAACACAGCTCTAAACTATGGCAGAGCTCCCTTGTTACAGATGGCTGTAGACACAAACTCTCTCCTGACCACCTCCATACACAGTTAAGATGATTTGAACCAGAAACTTCAAATTCGTCACCCTATATGACCTGTTGCCATCTGTTAAATCCAGTGCTTGTGTAACAGGACAAAATGAATGCAAAAATACAGGAGAGCATTAAAGCAAAACCTGCTGTCTGTGTTGGATTTTTGAAAGCTTATTTTCCAGTACACAAAGGTCCTGTAAGTGGTCACTATATTACCATGTCATGCAAAAATACCCAGCTTAAACAGTTTTGATGAGAAGAATTCATATGGCTAGTTATTGCATTTTGTTCCATCAGGAAATTGCATGGTGGATTAAAATCTGACTGCACTCTTCTGCATTCACTTCCCTCAGTTTCACTCAACTGTGGTACCCCTCTCCTAATCTCCACTGTTAGTAAAACTGAATAGAGACACATCCCATATAAATATTATAGTTGCTGCCAGACACAATTTAAAAAGATTTGCTTTCAAATTTAACAATAACAATTTTTCTTCTAGTGGTTTAAAAAAAATAGGACAATTTAGCATCATTATCAGTTGATCTGGGGTAAGAAAATATCACATACTAGTATTTGCTTTTAAAATGCTTTGGTAGTACTCTCGAGATAAAACAGAAACTGCAGGGTTGTATTAGAATGACAATCACGTTGCCATCATTCATTAAAAAGAGACAGATAAGAACCTTCTGCAACATGAGTGCAACTGGTCTGGGAGCTCAGTCAGTGAAGCAGGATCACTGACAGAGTTGTGGGTTTGACTCTCAGCAGAAACCTCTGCAGTGAACTGAGCAACTGCAGGCAGTCGTTGCTGCCCTTAGCTTCTCGCTGGCTGGCGATACCAAACCACCAGATGAAAGCAGAGCGATTCAGAAACATTACCTGATCAAATGAAAAGCACCTAACTGTGGCAGACAGATCTAGATGAAGAAATACAAATGTGATGATGTGCAAGACGAGGAAGAAAAGAGGAAGGCTGAACAATTGACATCAGTCTCTGAAAGTATGAGAGTATGACAGATGGAGAGGAAAAGAGATGAGGCAGTGAGAGACGGAGAGATCGTTTTAATTATAATCGTGAACGAGTGGTAGAGGGAGCAAGACAGAGAGGGAGAGAAATGCTTGGCTGTGGCTTTGAGTTGCAAGAAAATGAAATAGAGTGGTGATTAGTGAGATGTGGCGCTGCGTATGTGTGTGTGTGAGATCCTCATTTGAGCGATGATACTGTCTGTGATGTCACAGGCTCGCACACACATACAGACACACTCAGGGCTACAGTGTATGACTGCACTTCTTTTTAATGCAAGTTACAAAACACTTGCTTACTTTTCATTATAGAAATAGATTCACTTTCTGAGATATATGCTTCTTTGCTTATTTAATGAGAGTCTGATGGGAAGATCAATACCACTCCTACTCATGGCATTAAGTTTAAAACTAAAGCCAGAAGCTGGTTGGATTACCTAAGACCAAAAACGATACCAGGGGAAATACATAGTTTGCATCTCTCTAAAGGTGACAGGGTTCAGAAAATTAATCATAACCTCAGGGGTTGAAAAAGAACTAACAGAAAAATGAAGGAAGTCAGCTATAGCGTGCCGCTCGTACAGTTCGGCTGCACAATTTGACAGCAGAAACATAAACACTTAACCCTGATCCAAAAATGCTTTTGGTATCTAGAAATCAGACAAACTCTATGAGGAAGCACTTCGCAAGAGCGGGAAGGAAAAACGTCCTTTTAACAGGAAGAAAACTCCAGCAGAACCAGGCTTTAAGAAGGGGCAGCAATCTGCTGCGACCAGTTGGGGGTGATGTGTCGTATAAACACATAGTGATGAAAAGAAGTGAGTGTAGAAAAAAAACATTCGATGTATCATGGGAAGCCCCCAGCAGCCGAGACCTATTGGAGCATAACTACGGGTGGATTCAGGGTCAACTGATTCAGCCCTAACTATAAGCTTTATTAAAAAGGAAACTTGGCAAAATTTGCATCCCATTTACCCTAAGAGTGAGTTTTTACTTCATCTTGCTAACCAAGTTAGCTGCCTGTGGAGGTCTCAGTTGTGTCATGAAATATTTTTCGAGTTTAGGCCACACATTACGCGTTAGAAGTGGTAGATGGCAAACCACTTTAAAGGTCTACACATTAATCGGTTTGTCCATTTTTTATCTCCCCTTATGCAAATATACTGATCTCTGGTCCAAAAGCAGTTTTTCCCCTTCAAAATAAAACGTGAGGTTTGAGTATTCGTTTGATCTGCTCTGTCATTATTTTCAGTAAAACGTTGTTTGCTCTGAAATATGTCAGGTCATTGTGGACATATTCCTTTATATTAGTAAGCAACAGAGCTTCTTTCCTGTATTTGTGCACTGTTTGGACTGGGGATCAAGTAGAGCACACCAGCCAGCCAAGCGCACAGACAAAATAAATTGTTTCTGTGTCTCTGTAGCTATCTTGTTCTGACTTTCTTTTCTCCTGGTCCTTGTATCTTCTCTCTCCATCTCTGTTTCTCCTCATCTGGTGAATACAGATCTCTCACGAAGTCTTTGTTTCTTCTACCATCATCTCTTCTCACAAACATACTTCAGACACATACCAGCATCAGAGGTGTTTCATTCATACTGTTTCACACAAAAAGAAAACTGCCTGCTATGTTCTTGTCTCTTTGTCTGTGCTTCAATTTGTATTTCAAACAAGCACACACACATACAATATGTTGCCATGTTGTATCCTATAACAGAGAAGAGAAGAGAAGATGAATGAAAGCTATAAAGAGAGAGCACATGCTGACACGCTTATCTG